ACTGCACGCGCGTATGTGTAAAAGTTATTGTCGAATTTTCTCGGAAAAACCTTCCAGTATATCTTTATTAGATAACATTTAACGACACGTTATTACGAAATAATGCCTACATGTCGAAGGAGGAAGGTATATAAAAATTATAGACTAAAGTAATTTTTATTTACAATCCGTGTTCCCGAATATATATAGATTATTTCCAATCACAATTCTCCAACACAAGGAAGTAATAAAAGCAAAAAAAGAAGAACTGGCACATTTAATGATTCGTATAAACGTGAAAGCTTTCCGTGTAATTTTATAATAATTATTGGGGGAGGTAGTTTTCACATCGTCACGAAATTAAAAATAGGAAATGCGGAGCGTTCGCGATAAAACGCCACGTTCCCTGTCGCTCCGGACGTCGCTATAAACAGAGGGACCGACGACGCGTCGCGAGCGGTTCGCGGGTAAAATAGATCGATAGTTCGTTATTTATAACGCCGACGAGTTTACGGAAGACGAGTTTCTGCGTTTGTCTCGCCCCTCGGACTCTCGGTCGCGGTATCGATGTATCGATTTCCCGTACGTCTCCCATTCGAAACGTGGAAAGACGTACGATCGTATCAACGTCACCGCCGCGATGGACGGCACGATTAAAGCGGCTTAGACTCGTCGAGGTAATCGCGATAACCGTCCACCTGCAACTACATGTGCGCTGATAACGCGCCGCAAATACATTAAACACTCGGACCGGTGAATCATCGGCGGGATGACGCGTATGTGTGTAGTTTTAACGTCGAGCGAAATCTATGACTCTGCAAGATTTGCGTCTTGCACGCTAATGCAGCAAATTGCATTCCGAGTCGAGAGCCACTGATTCACCATTTATGGAAATTTACCGTTTTCATCGCGAGGCTGAGGAAATCGCGGACGCGAATTTGCTCGCGTAATTAGCCGAAACGTTGCACGCGTGACGCGCGATATTTTCCTCTCGGCTCGCGGTTTTCCTGGCGGACAAAGAAGCGCGAATCTTGATCCATTATCGCGCGATGTAGAAAAATGCGAGGGACGGAATTACCCGGCGATTATTTCGTCGGGAGCCGCCGATAGAAATACCTCGCTGAGAAAGGAGAAAGAGAGAGAGAGAGAGAGAATCGCGATGAAACTATACATCCTCCTGAACGCGCGATCATTACTTCGAATAGCGTTTTAAGCGGCTTCGACCCAGGTATTATCCAGCCCGGACAATGAACGAGCGAGGCTGGCGTTCTTGTAACGTTGGAGAACACGGCGCTGACCTAGAGACTCCTTCGGTTTATGGAGACCCATGCTAATGCCGCCACATAAAGCAGAACCCGTCGTGCGTCGACCAGAAACGGGGAAGGGACGGGAGGAGGAGGAGGAGGAGGAGGGATGAGGCGGGGTGGGATAGGGAGGAGAGGGAAGGGGACCAAGCCTGGGAGCGAGTCTGCCCGAGTAAAATTCCTCGATGAGCATCGAGGGGGGACGCAAGGGGGATAGGAGAAGAAAGGGTCGAGGGAGGGGAAGGGATTCGCGGCTCGCTCGCCAGCCAGCCAGCCAGCCATCCACCGTGGCAACTCGGCTTTCCTCTCCGCCATTACCCTCTTCTCTCGCTACCCTCCCCACGCGTCCTCTTCTCAGCCCCGCTAATCTCTCCCCCTTCCCTCGCTCTGCCCGCTTTCACTCATACGAGCCGACGTGGAAAAGGGCGCTCTCGTCGTGTGTGAAACTTGTAGCAAAGCGCGCCGACGAACGTGCCTGTATGCGTGTCCTTTTTTTTTTTTTTATTAGAGGAAACGTGGGGATTGGCGCGTCGAGGGATGGAGGAGAGGAGGAGGGGGAGAGGAGGCAAGAATGAGGAAGGAAAGAGAGGCCAGCAACGGCTTTCGCGAGCGAGAGGAGAGGCCAGAACGCGGTCGCGATTCCAGTACGCTGCCGAGTCTCGGGAATTTTCCCTGGATCCGATGATGAAAATTCGCACGGAAATTTCGTGCGTTTCTCCGCGATACGAGCTGGATCTTCGGTCGCGCAGTTTCGTAGCGATCGACGGATGGGAATCCGGTTTGCCCGCGATCGATATTCCCGACGATCGTCGAGGAATGTTATAATTACGGAGCTAATATCTTTTGCTCCGTTTCTACCTAGAGGATCGACACTAATCGCAGAGGTAGAGAGATCTCTCGTTCCCCCTCGTGTCTCTCGTCATTCGGAGACTCGCGTGCCGTTAATGCGCGACCAAAGGGAAACGTCGAGTAGGATCTCTCGAAATGAAACGAAAGCGAGTAATTTCGCTGCACTAGTCGAGGAGGAGGCTTTCTTCATATCCCCGAATATCGCGACTATACGACTGTACGTTTCACTGTTTCACTTGGCAGGGTCGAGCGCGGCGGCTCGCCTCGCTCCGGAATCTCCCGGACTGTATAATAGAGTCCGGAGAACACAACACAGGTCACACGGTAAAATCTGTCGCCGCGATTCTCCTACATTATGCGAGAAACGAGCTCGAGACGAGAGGGAGAGAGCGGATGATCGTCACAATCGTGCGTCCGCCATTTCGCGTTCTTCCAAGATGCGTACGTGGCAAGGATTTACAGAGATTTACTCCCTTGCGCCTCTCGTCCTGCTTTCCTCGCCGAGGAACGATCGAGACTCCAAAAATAATTCTCGATCGCCGAAACGTTCAAAGGTCCTCGAGAACGGGAGGACGTTCTCCCTCTCGTTTCTCTCTCTCTCTCTCTCTCTCTCGATTCGTCTCGTTAACGATCGGATTCTAGATACTCGAGCATCATCGACGACTCGACAAACAACGAAACGCAAAAACCCTTCTCTCATCGGTCAATAGAGCGACGAGGGGGACCACGCCCCGTCCGCGCGGTCGACACGACAGAGGAAAAACATACGCCCAGGCATTGCGACACGCTCTCGCTGCCTCTCTTTCGAGATACTTTTCGCCTTAACGAGATAAAGAAACTATATTTCCGGCGCTCTTCGATTCGTAGAGGACCTAGTCGAGTATCTCCGCGGATAATCCATCCAGAAATCTCAGCACAACCCTCTCATTCCCCCTTGTCGCGCGAAACGATCATCCCGATGATGATGCGACGGTGCGACGTGGAGCGGGGACAATTTTCTAGTTATTTTCCCTACGACGCTTATGCGAGAATAACGCAGCGGAGAAGTTATACGAGGCTAAATGGCAGAGAAGAAGTCCTTCGGGGAGAGCGAGCAGCGACGTAGCAGAGAGCGGAGCAGCGACGTGCGACTCGCGCGAGATTAGACGAACGACTCCCTGGGAGAGTCCCCGAACGTCCGGATGTTTGCGCCTGCGTGCGGCATTCTCTCTCGGAAGCGGCCAATCGTCGCGCGTCTCGTCCCACCGACGCGGCGATACTTCCCCTACTTGGCGATGCGGCTGCTGGCTCTCCGTCTCCGCACACAGGGTGTGCCAGAAACAACTTTCCGGACGCTCTTTGTTTTCTTTAATTTTGCGCGAAATTCAATATCCCAAGTTCTCCGCTGAGCGCTGGGTGAAAACGAGACTCCGTCCCTCCTGCGTTCCTCTCTTCCCTTTCGCCTTCCCTTCGCGACCGAAACTTGGTCGATTCAAAATTGCGCCGAGGCTAGGCCAGGCCGAGCCTGGAGACGCGAGCGAAAGATATCGGACGCTACCAATGGGACGGCGGAATAACGCGCCACGCAATCGGGGAATAAATCGATATCGGGGCTGCTGCGGCCGTTCCATTTGCGTCCTAAAAAACTTTCCCCATTCGCCTGTATCGTTGCACTTGCAGACATTTGGAGAAGTCTTGAAATAAAGAAAAAAATCACTCGTGAAAACTTCGTTTATTCAACCAGAGTCTAATTTATATCGAGTTCAATATTGCAATCCAGCGTTAAATAACGCGTCTATTACGTAATGACAGTTGTGAGCGTTGACGTCGGAATTCAAAATAATAATATTCAACGCGAACGTTGGAAGAACGGCGGCTGATGCAATTTGGATTTTTTCTCGTCACGTCTAACGAACCCGATTTAGATCGCTGCTTTAATCCGTCTTATTCGCGTTACGCGAAGGCATTCTTTTTCATAACGCAATGTTTCGAAGATCGCACGCGCCAGTAACTTGGCGCAATCGATGAAGCGCGAAGCATTAAAGCCGATGTTTTCTTTGGAACACCTTATATACATCTATGCGCGTCATTTCTTTCACGATCGTCCCCCTAGTCGCGCGACTCGAGCCACTCGGCGAGAGCCGTCGTGGTTTCTCCGCAAAAACATCCGCGACGACTTTTATCCGTACGTAAGCGAAGAAAGAGTTCGATTGAGGTCTCGTCTTTCTCTTTTCTCGTTCTTCTCTCGTCGTCTCTTTCGTCCTTTAAACTTTGCCCGTTTCTCTCTCTCTTTCTCTCTTTCTCTTCCTGCTTTAGACTTAATTTCCTGCGCTCGCTCGAGTATCGAGAAAGCTTTCTAGAGGCCAAGAATTACAAGATCTCTCTCTCTCTCTATCTTTCTCTATCCTTCTTTTCTCTCTCGTATCTTCTCCTTTCTTCGAAATCCTAAACGATACCGGTGAGATCCCTTTGGCACAGTCGCCGCGAATAGAAGCGCGATGTTGCACCCGGAGCTGGCGAATGTTTGCTGACGGAAGACCCTCGAGAATAGGTAGCTTCTTGAAAATTCTCATTCGATCATTGGACAATTTTAAAGCGTAGAGTCTTAAATTTATATCGATTACGCGACATACTTCACCGATCGGCCATTTGAATGTTCGCGCAATTTTAAAAAATATAATTGGAGTGTGAAGAAAATAAATTAAATTGCCAACTTTGAAACTGATTTTTGATTTAAAAATGATTCGTAAACGCGAGCGATGTTGCAGTTTCCACGTCGCTCGTGTCGTAATTGGATAAATAAAAGTCGGAGAACATCTGACGGAATCGTACGAATTAAACTCCCGATAGCGTTGACATTTGCTAAATGAAAGATTAATGATGTTTTAGGTATGGACGCGTGCAGAGCGTCAAGCTGCTGCCACGGGGCGAGGTGTGCCCTGTGGACGGAGGTTCCAGCAGTACCCTTGGCGAGAGCAATGAGGGCGGTTCCGGTTCGAGTTCAGGCGGCAGCGGGGGCGGCGGCGGGGGCGGCGGTTCCTCGTCCAGCGGTGTGTGCGCGACGGTGGCGTTCATGGATATCAAGTCCGCAGCGAAGGCTCACGCGACTGAGCACACGCTGGACGATCGAGTCCTTACCGCACAGTACTACGAACCGCAGCATCTTCAGCACAGGTTCCCCTCTCATGGGTGAGTTTCCCTCGTTACGCGAAATCAAGGTTCATCCCTTGAAACGAGAAAATTTGAAAGATGCAAGACTCTCAAAAGGGATAGATTATCCACTTTAAATATACGATTCGATTCTTTCTTTCGATCAGCTGTTTTGATCCAGATGATAATCTATAGGTCTTCTGTTATCCGATACGATAAATCACGTGTTTGTATTCTATATAAATCGATTTCATATTGATCGTAATGTAGATTAGATCGATTCATATCAAATTTCCTTTTCTTCTTCTTTATTTATTTATCTTTAGCAGTATCACGTTAAATAACAGTTTCAATGATTTGAAGAACATTTTGATTTTATTATTGCTCATGGCAGAAAATTCTTCACAAATTTAATTAATTAAAGCCACATGCATATTGCTGATTTTTCTATCTCTTCATTTATTGCAGATTTCAATACATTATTTAATATCCAAGACAATACATGTAATAGTAAGAATTTCAAACTGTCACATTCTTTTTATCGATATGGAAATGTCCTCGACCGTTCCTTTTTCTCCAAAACAGTCGTGTACAGGAATAGAAACGATATTCTCGGCACTTCAAAGTGACACGTACAAGCGCTGGTTTACGACGAGTGAGTCACGTCCTAAGAATTAATTAAATATTGCACGTCACAGGAAACAGGTACAAAAAGACGACATTGAAATGTCGTTATGGACGGTCGATCATTCCATTATTTTTGCTTTCGAATAAAATTCACGTACGGTCTACGAGTAAATTGCACATCTCCGGCTTATTTTTCTCGTAATCTTCCATTTGACTAAAATTCAGCGATATACTGCTGGATTTTTAACCTTGATAATTTTTAATTTTCTTTATTATTTTATTTTAAAACTATATGGATGTGACAAAATATGATATAATAAAAGTGTCAGTAAACCTCCAATATTGTTATAACACAGAAAGAATTACTGTTTTCCCAAATTGTCAAAAAAGCACTTGCGATTTTGCATAAAAGTGATCAGAAAATATTTACTTTAATTTTAAAAACTTATTAATAAAGTAAGTTCTATTATTCTAAGCAGTATAAAAATATTAAAAAAAAAGAGCCAAGGAAAAATGCCCAACGTTCGAATGTTTTTTTATGGAAATTTATCATTTTTTTCATATTTTTTTTACGAATCTGTTGATAAAATATTTTTTTCTCGACGATATATCTCGCGCAATTGCGAAAATTAATTGTATCGTTATAATTGTTGTTGGATGCCACATAAAGCCATTGTTGTATCGACGTCAATAAATACGTATGTAGGCGCGCATAAAATTCTTTTCGCTGATACAAACAATTCGATCGTGATGTCGAGTGTCGCGCAAACAACGCATTATCGACATTTTTAGCTTCGTTGCATGCCGATCGTTATCCATAATATACCATATGTTTTCATCGTAGTGGAGAATTTAATATTAGAACAGTCACGGCAAAATAAAATCGTATCGAGCTACGCATTTTTAATGGAAGTGATAAACATACTCGACATACTTCGCGATCGATAATGTCATATACAAATACTAGAATTAGCCTCATTTTAATTTTATTTCTAATAAATTGCACCGTCTCATTTTAATTTTATTTCTAATCAATTCCAGCGCACTTTGAACTTATGGATCTTTGGACTCCATAATCAGTGTTTCTATTGTAAATGACGATAACAACAGCATCGATACAATTTTAGCACGATCACAAATGATTCGTGTTTCCAAAACTATGTTCTAATCTGTGGCAATAAAAACACATGTAATTAATTTCGAGAGATTACGTTGGAGCAATTTAGAGCGTGCAGCCCAATTTCTCACCGAAGTTGAGGATCACTGACGCTCTTATCGCGCCTTCGATAATAGCGTAATCTCTCCTTCTCTTTTTCTCCTGGCGAAAATTCACGCCACGCATTCGCGTTCTATATTTCCTAACGTCGTCACCGCCGCGACGCGGTCGCCCTCGTCTACTTACCCACGCATTTGACAAATTGCGCATGTATACGACTAGCGTACGGATAGAGAACCTGCACTTTCTCTGTGGCATCAACGGCACGCGGCACGTACTTAAAGTTGGAGGCGTATCGTGTGTCGCGTTCGCAGAAGAGCCGCGACTGCCTCCGATCGATCGATCTCACCGCGAAAGAGGGGGCGGGAGGCGGAAAGAGAGAGAGAGAGAGAGAGCGGGAGAAAGAGAGGGACAGCTAGAACAGGCTAAAGATAGAAAGATAGAGAGAGAGAGAAAGAGAGAGAAGTAGCGGGAAAAAAGGAAGGAAAAAAATGGTGCGTGCACGCTACGCGCGTCGTGCACGCCTATATTCACGCGCGCGCGACGGAGGAGAGTTAGCGGCGTCTCATTTCCACGAAAAGTCAGGTGACCGTGACGACGTGGTCGCTCCGGCGATGTTGCCATGTCCCGGCTGCGCGGGCGCTATCGCCCGAGAGTAGTAACTGTCGAAGTGTGACGGCAGAGGCTGAGCCGCGGAGGGGAAGAGGGAGAGAGCGTTAACTGTCAGTGATGTAGCCGGGAATTTACGAGCCCCGAGCTCGACTCGCCTCGTCTCCTCCTCATCCTGAGAACGCCGGGATTGAGATATTTAAGTCGAACGATGATTTTTCGCGCAAAAACCAGATTACTCGGATGCAGGGGACATTTCCGCGATGATGACGCTTGTATTTTCAGTCGTTGAACTATTGAATGTAGGCCGTTGCCAATCAGCGCATCCATGTTTTAATTTTATTATAAAACAATTCGATTCGTTACATCATCCGCATCCGTTTCTTTTTGTTCAACTTTTAATCAATTCATGATTTAATGAAGATTCATGATTTACTTACATTGCACTTATTTATGGATAGGCAAACATGAAAACATTTAATAGCAAGTGTGTTGAATCGTAATAAATTTTATTTTTGTGTATATATATATATATATATATATATATATATATATATATATCTTTAACAATTTCGCAAACACGTGGCATACATTTTGTATTATATTTAAAAAAGCGATTAAAGCGAGAGATTAGCAGATATCATAATGACTCCAGAAAAATATGATACGGAGGGAATTATCATTTCGCACAATCGCCCAATATAGATCGCTCAACAAGTTCCTATTGCAATAGTCATTTGCTTGATCGCAATTTTTAATCGATGCAAACACTAGAACGTATCTTTATAACAGCGTCATCGGGTAAAGTCCCGTTGAGATAACGAAATTTACATGAATTGTACATTTACAGTTAGATATGCCTTTCTATTCCATTCGTTAAAGTTTTTGTTTTATAACATGTGCAAAATACTCGACATTTTCATGTATCTAATTTGAGTCCACATCAATGAAATCGAATTGCAAATTCGAATATGTATAATTTTGTTTTACATCAAGATTTTCGATTAAAATTCTTATCATAAAATAAAAAAATTTTATTTCTTACATAAAATCGTTGAAATTGTCTAAAATAAACTTGGAACTAATTTCGAATAATCCAATAATTTTCAAATCATTGTTGCGAATAATCGAATTTGTCTAGACTCACATTTTATCAAACTTGACGCGCATTTAATACGTCTGGCCTCTTCAACATATGATCTTTACTCATGATAATGTAATCTTTGGATTAAAATTAATATTCAGACTTTAGATTAGATTACGGATAGTGTATCGAAGGAATTGTAGACATGCTGATTTTATAAAGTAAAAGAAAAGAGAGAGATTTGAAGAGGATTAAAGATATAATTAGCAAGTAAGAAACATATGTAGGGATGCTAGAGAAGCGAACACGTTACTGACATGCTAAAACGGTACTCGTACGACTTCAATATTCTTGTCGTTGGAATGTTCTAAATATTTCAGATCGGAATTTACGCAGCAAGTCTATTGTTACTCCAATTTGTTCTCTATCCTTGCTTTCTCTCTCACGTGACTCGTTTTACGTTGTGAATTATCATTTCGTTTTTGCGCGTGACTAAATGTACATGATAATCAACTTCTTTCAACGTTGTAAAGGTCATGAGCATGGCAATTTTATGCGAAAATATTGTTGCGATGTCCAATAAGTATACCTAGTGAACAACGATAATGTTTCTTTCTCGTTGAAAACTAAAATAATTTTTAAAATTTTCTATTAAAATTTAATTTTATGTTATAGTATTTTTTTATGATTTTTAAAGAATACTATATAGCTAGATAACTTAAATCAAAATTCTATTAAACTTCTAAGCTTAATTGAAAATTAATTTGCTTTTTATTTATTACATCTTACACTGCAAACTGTCAATTTTCTATTTTTTATTTTATTACGAAAATTATTATTTTATATATCATGATATATATATATTTATGAGGAAAAATCATTTCAGTTCCGATAAAAAATATCTACACATACATCAAATCAAACACGTCTATCATCAAATATCTTTCTTGTTGTTTTCATTTCTTTCAATATTATATATCGAATATTCAAATGTGTTGTTAACAAATGCGTATTTACGCGCTCATTATTTCCATGTTAATTAACAAATTTGATGTAAATGTAATTTCGCTTCGTATTTGAATTGGCGTCCAAGTAAGCAAAAAATCGACATATATGCTAAAAATATTTAAATTAATTGCGCGAAGTAAACACGTAAGATTAATCAGGTAAATGAATAAGACATTAGATCCATTAGTTAGATTAGATTGAGAATTGTGATATATGAATTTCAATAATTGCTTAATGATTGCAGAAAGATTAGGGGGGAGACTGCAATCATGAAAATATTTTATTTTTCCTTCTAAAGTTACGTGTACATAAGTATTGAAATCTGTTAGAATCGGCTGAAACCAGTTTATTTCGGATGTAATTTTTTTCAAAGAAAACATTTGTTATGCGTGTCAATTCTCTTTCAAAATTGACAAAACGATTAGATGACGATGACGCATGACACATATTGAAGATAATCAAAGATTGTAAGCGAGACACAAGAGATATTCCAAAGACAATACATAGATATGCAGATAGTGTAAATGATAATAGTAGCAGCAATGATAATTTTCTTTTGGGCCATATCTCCGTTATCTCTAAAGGACTAGAGAACCAATATAGTACAAAAAGATATAACATAAGACCATGCGATAAAATACGCAGAATATAGAAAAATGAAGAAAAAAAGATGAAATAACTTGTTCGTTAATCGCTAAATAATTGGATCGATCCCAATTCAGGACAGCGCTTCTTCATCGCGCAACCCGTTAGAAGAAAATAATCATAAATATATATTCCGCAGCGTGTCCTTGTAAATGATGGCGCTAAGTCAAGTTTTTGCATGTTTCAGAAGTTCAGAGGATCATGGATCCAACGGCGGTAGCGGGGGAGGAAGTAGCGGAACAGGCGGCGTTTCCGGCGGTAGCAGCGGTAGCGGGAGCACCGGTTCCGGGGTCGGCGGCAACGGCGGCGGCGGTGAACGAGGAGAGAGGGGAAGCGAGGGTTTCGACTCACGTGGTTCCCACGGCAGCTTCTACGGTAGCGAGAGGAGCAACCGAGTGGTTGGCACCGGGAGCGGCGGCGTCGTCGGCGGCAGCGGCAGCGGCAGCGGCGTCGTCGGCGTCGGCGGTCATCCAACGGATTCTTCGACGGGGGACCCTAGCGGTTACATATCCCGCCGTCCACCACCTACGAGCTCCTACCACGTGACATCGAGCAGGGCGAGGGATCGGCTATACCCGAGGACCGGCCCGTACGTCTCCGGGCCGCCGCCCCCGCCCCATTTAGACCGTCATCGTGGAAGTCTCCCGCCGTCGTCTTGGTCAACGTACGAGCCGACGAGTTCAAGGTATGGCAGCGCACCGCCGCCACCCTCGCCTGCCACCAATGACTCTTACCAAGATGAACAAGGTAATTATCGCTAATCCGCTAGAGAATGAAATTGTGGCGTGCTACACTAGTACTCTGATGAACAAAGAATGCAAAAGCCAGATTGTGCAAGTGAGTGCTTTAAATGTATATCGTAATGAATAATTTTTATTTTTGTGAAACAAAAAAAATATTTCAGGATACCTTTTAAGCCGGCGTGTATCCCATTTCCGTCATATCTTTTCTCCTGTAGGAGGTGGCGGAGGTGGTGGTAGCAGTAGCACTGGTGCTCTGCGACAGCACAAAAAACAACGCAGAAAATCACGCAGCGGGAGCAGCTCGCCGAGCGGTAGCAGTCGCTCCGGAAGTAGCAGCAGCAGTCGGAGCGGTAGCTCGGGTGGCAGTACTTCCGGAGGTAGCACATCGCCCGGTAGTTCACCACATCGAACGAGCAATGTATCCGTCATAGAGGATCGCAGGCCAGTGGCCATCTGCGTGAGGAATCTACCGATTCGCAGCAGCGATTCCTCCCTCAAAGACGGCCTTTTCCATGAGTACAAGAAGCACGGCAAGGTGACGTGGGTGAAGGTTATTGGCACAGCCAATGAGAGATACGCCCTAGTCTGCTTCAGGAAGCCCGAGGATGTCGAGAAAGCCCTCGAGGTTTCGCAAGATAAGCTCTTCTTTGGATGTAAAATTGAAGTGGCCCCTTATCAGGGCTACGATGTCGAGGATAATGAATTCAGGCCGTATGAGGCGGAGCTCGACGAGTATCATCCGAAAGCGACGAGAACGCTGTTTATCGGGAACCTTGAAAAGGATGTTACTGCGTCCGAACTCAGGAAGCATTTTGAACAATTTGGCGAGATAATAGTAAGTCGATTTGAGTAATCAAAAAATTTTTACAGCAAAGATTGAATAAAAATGAGAGAGTAAAGATGATTGCGCGAATGAAAATTATAATAAAATCTTATCTGAATAAAAAGAAGGTCTAAGCTTGTAATACATACAGGCCAAATTAATTGCATACAGTACAATACTTTGTTCTATTTGTTTGTAGGAAATTGACATTAAGAAACAAGGCGCCGTATCGAGTTACGCTTTCTGTCAGTATTCGGATATTGGTAGTGTCGTTAAAGCCATGAGATCGATGGACGGTGAACATATAGGTGCGAATCGAATCAAACTCGGATTCGGAAAATCAATGCCCACACCCTGCGTTTGGGTTGATGGCATTGGAGGTGAGCAAATTTATACTTTATTTACCATTAATTATATTAGTAATAGAATTAATTATATTAGTAATAGAAAGAGTAACACAACGAGGACTAAAATACAAACCATTACTATATATGTACATATATTGATTGTTTTTCTCTTTTTTTAGATTGCACATCCGAGAAGTTTTTAAGCTTGCAATTCAATACATTTGGACCGACAACTCAGGTAGTGATAGATCGTGAACGTGGCCATGCTTTAGTCTTTTTCGATCAAATAAGCTGCGCTCAAGCTGCCGTGAAAGAGATGAGGGGAGTCACGGTTCGCGGCCGTCGTTTGCAGATCGATTTCGCGTCGAGAGAATGTCAAGAAACTTTTTACGAACATCTCGAGCGTCAAGGAAATACTAGTGAAAAACCTTGGGACTCGAGACCTTCGCCAGCGTCGTCGTTTGACATAACGTATGTACATTTTTTTATGCAATTAAATGCGTTTCTTATGGCTAAAAATATCTTAATACGAAATATCTTTGTTTGAGAGATAATTTTTATTTAATTTTATTAACACATTATCGATAAAGTTTTACCATGAATGTTTTAAAATGAATGCTTATGCATAAGCTCATGAGTCATAATCAAGAACTTAAAACTTAAAGTGCATTCGTGATTCGAAGGATTCCTTCTAGGCGGGAGCGCAACAGCTTCGATTCTGCAGTCACAGTGCCGAGTTCGAGCAACAGATTCACGCGCTATGATACGCCCCCGCGATCTAGAACGACCAACTATTCGCGGACTTCCGGAGGCAGTACACCAGGCGCGAGTCCAGCTCATCCGACAGCATTGTCACGAAGTAATAGACGATCCTATCAAGATTCCTATTACGATGGTGATTATGCCGAACCGGCGTCGAGACGTTTTCGCAGTTACGATGAATTTAGTCAAGGCAGCGGTGCAAGTCACGACGATTACCAGAGCAGCGTACTCAGCGACGGCAAACTTAACGACGACGATTGTCCGCCACCGTCACGACGTCACGCAGTGCAAAGTGTTGTTACAAGTATCGACCCGCCTGCGCCACCGCCACCGTTATTACCTCCGCCCGATATTCGGCATCTCCAGAAGGAACGCGTCCATTTGTTGGAGCAACTTGAGGAGTGCCATAGTAGCGGCGATGAGGTCGGTTTCGTGTCAAAGAAACGCGCAAAACTCGATAACTCATCGACGACAATACTCTGCGAAGACGAGGAGCCGGAAATTGCGTCGTTACTCGTTACCTCGCATTCTAGTAGAAAAGGAATGGATTTTAGACGCGTTAGTGATAGCAAAGTAGTAGTGCACCATAGCACAAGGAGAGGTAGTTGCGAGGGTAGAGGTCCTGGACCTTGTAAGCGTCGTCGGGATGCTACTAGCAGGTGAGTTGTGTTTTACGTTTCAAAGAAAAAAAGAGAAAAGATAGTTAATTTAAAAAATTACTCAAACTAAAGTAATAATATTTCTAGACATCATGAACACCACGATGGATCTCGACCAGGCACGCCTCTCGTTGACGAACGGCCGGAAAATTTGATACCGAGCGAGCCAAGAAGATTCAGAGAAAGGAGTCACGAGGGTCCATTGTCGTTACCTTTACCGAGGTTTGCGGCACAAATGTTAAACAACAACAATAATACAAGCAGTAGTAACAACAATAATGGCAGCGGCTCTCGATCGAACAATGCAAGCCTTGCTAAAATTGCTAGTCCTCCGTGTGCCAGTTTATCTACTGCACCAAGTCCTCGTGCCGCACCGCAACCGCCGGCTTCGCCACCTCCCAGACATACCAGTTCGAGCCCGACCAGTTCTGACAGTGAGACAGCGCCGCAATCTCCTAGTCTGGAAGAAAGGATACGCTCTCTGGATGAAAAATATGAAAAGTGGTCCGGTTCGAGAGCATTGAGTGCCGCCGGCGGCGATGCTCTGGCGAAACTCGATGCCAGCGCTTCGGAAAGATTCCGATTTCGGCATAAATTGCTCGATTTGGATCTCCACGAAGTGCAACCTTCCGATATCGTGAAATCGGTCCTCGCGAAAAGGAGTGTGTTCGATGAAGACTCGAAGCGATTGGAAAACTTTAGCGAAAAATACGAACCGCGGGAATTCACTGGTGTTATTGGCGTTAGTTCTATGATCGGTAGCACTGCTGGTCTTACATCCACTAGTGATGGTGGCTGTACCAGCAAAGTTTGTCTGCAGTATCCGTTTCCTAGTCATCCGCCGATACAGCCAGCCAGCGGTACTTCGGTTACCAGTCAAATCGGTATTAATACATCATTACCTGCGAGTTTAACTTCGACAACGACCATAGTCTCGTCGGCACTAAAGACCGATCCACGAATGGTGCAACATAATTGCATACATCCAACGCCAGCAACACCGATCACACCTGGTACATCTATTAAGACAGTTAGTCCCGAGTTGCCGCCAGTTTCTCTGCCGATCGGCCTTGGAACGGCAGCTAGTAACAGTAATGGTAGTGGTTTAGCGTCAGCCAGTAGTCTTTTAAGCAACAACAATGGTAGTATAGGTAACATTCACAGCCTCGGAACCTCGACACATCGAGGATTGAGCATCTCCGCGACTACCGCGTCACCCACGATGACAGCGGCGACGGATGCTTTCAACTCAACTGCAATAACCACAGCGATGCCTGTTATAACGTTGAGTGCGACAACTTCGTCAACGACAGTAGCAACGACAACGATGTCTGCAACAGGCGTGGTATCTTCCATGACTATTACCAGTTCGATAGCTCCACCGTCTTCCATAACGTCCTCATCTAATTCTTCCTCTTCATCATCATTATCTGCATCTTCCACAGATTTGCCTCGTTCTCGTTTGAGGAAGGAAACGAGCGGTAGCAATCGAGAGAATAGAGACTCCCGCGATGGGAGGGATAGCAGAGAGTCGAAACATAGTAAGGGTAAAGATTGTCAAAGAAGATCACGGAAAGATGAAATCGACGTCGAAAGAAACCGTAAAGATAGGGATGAAAAAGAAAGCACGAATGTTGTGGTGAATGACGTCGGAAATACGGATAATCACAGCAAGGATTTTAAAGATAACAAAGAACTGAGGTACGAACGAAAAGAACGAGAAGAAAAAGAAAGGAGAGATAAAGATGATCGTGATAGACAAGAACGAAGGGATAAAGAAGATCGTGATCGACAGGACAAAAAAGAAAAAGAAGAACGCGAAAGGCGTGAAAAAGACGAGGAGAGGCGAGAAAGAGAGAGACTTGATAAAGAACGACAGGAGAAAGATAGAAGAGAGCGAGAAGAAAGAGAACGGGAAAGAAAAGAAAGGGAAGAAAATGAAATTAAAGAAAAGGAGAAACGGGAGAAAGAACGTATCGATCGTGAGAGAAGAGAACGAGAGGAGAAGGAGCGGCAAGAAAGGCGAGAACGCGAAGAGCGTGAGAGGAGAGAACGTGAAGAACGCGAAAAGAAAGAACGGGAAATTCGCTTAGAGCGCGAAAAGCAAGAAAAGGAACGTCTTCGAAGAGAAAGAGAGGAACAGGAAAGAAGGGAAAAAGAAGAACGAGACAGGATAGAACGAGAAAGAAGAAGAGAAGAAAAAGAACGTCTCGAACGGGAAAGAAAGCGAGAGAAGGAAGAAAAGGAGAGATTAGAGCGCGAAAGGCGAAAAGAAAAGGAAGAAAGGGAAAAGATGGAAAAAGAGAAACGCGAGAAAGAAGAACGAGAGAGACTCGAAAAACTCGAGAGGGAAAAACATGAGAGGGAGAAGCGACGGGAACGCGAAGATCAAGAAAGGCGAGAGAAAGAAAAGGCTGAACGCGAAAAAAGGAGAGATCGCGAGGAAAAGGACAAAGAGAAGAGGGAACGCGATGACAACAGACGTCAATCAACCGAGAATCATTTGCATTCCTCTGTTACGCAGTCTCAAAATCAGGTTACTCCGGCACCGGTATCGGTCAAACGCAGATGCTCGTCGCAAGATTGTCCCACGGACGAGGATGCTAAACGTATAAAACTTTCGGACCATCGACGCGACAGTAAGGATCGGTCTAGACAAAATAGGAGATCCGAAGATCGTAAGCATCGCAACGACTCGCATCGTTCTAGTCGAGAGAGCAGGGAGAGTCGTGATAGTAAAGAAAGCAGCAGTGCGACACAGGACGGTGAATCCGTGACCCGAGAAAACAACTCGAGAGATAGTGGAAATAAGGAGAAACAGAGGAGTAAAAAGAATCGATCGGAGAAGGAATCGAGAGAACGTAGTCCAAGAGTATCGCATGAATCCGATAAAGAATTTTTGTCAAGGTTGGAACTTTCCAAAAGAAATGATTCGACTCTGTCCGAGCAAAGTTCCATGGGGTCGAATCATACAAGAGATGTGCAGCATCATCAACAGCAACAGTCTTCTACATTGAATTCACACAGTGACGTAGACGATGGTCCCCTCTCCACTCATGAAATACAAACGGTAAGAAATCCATCGGCCACAGATACAGATAGCGATGAGCCGAAGAAGCACTCGATTTTTGACATTGTCGATGATGAGCCTGCTTACATCAGTATGTATGATAAAGTGAAAGCTCGTTCGACGAAAAATATGCAAAAACTAGAAGAGGAGAAGCGTCAAGTGCGATTAAAGGATAAATTTTCGCAATTGAAGCAAAGTCGCGCCAGGCGAGAAGAGAAGAAGCAGAGTACATCGTGGGACGGAGATTCCGTGAGTAGCAAAGCTCTGACTGAGGACGAAGCTACTTCCGAATCGGATTCGACGAGAACCAAGTCTCTCTCCAGAAAAGGTTCGCGATCTCGCATTCATTCTGATACGAGTGAAGAGGAGGAGCCATTTAATAACAAAGTTCGCAAGCCTGTAAAGACTGAAAGATTCCTCGAGAGTGATGTCGATCTTGGCTTTGCCGATACGGAGGAGAAGCAAAATCCATTAGAAGCCTCAAATGTCATTGTGAATAGCGTACACACGAACATTAAGGAAGAACCTCGTACATCCGACGAAGACGAACGAATCTCGGTTAGTTTCCGTACGAATCATCCGACAATAGTGGTAAACAATCACGAGAGAGATTCACGAAAGAAATCACATAAAAAGAAACAGAAACGCCAAAAGAACAGTATCTCGAGTGAAAATAATTTGAAGGTGGAACCGACAGAGATTCTAGAACATAAAAATAAAACCAATCTCATTACGTCGTCGAATGCAGAGTGTCGACCAAATCATGGCACGGAATTGACCACTATTACCGCCGCTACAACTATAGTCACGACAGGATTAGAAAACGCTGAAGAAAGAATGCGCGCCGATAAGAAGCAACGTAGTAAAAAGGATAAGAGGCGCGATCGGAATGGAGAGGAGAAGGCCAAAGCGAGGCGAAAGAGGCTCAACAGACAAGAAGCAAGAGATTCTCAACGTATGGAGGACATTTTCGGCCCTCTCTCGGATGATGTTGACGATGGTCCATCTAATACTCACACGTTCTTCAATAGATTTAGCAATATGACATCGGAGAACAGTGTTTATGCTTCAGACAGTGACGGTGGTCGTAGTTCGCTCGACATGGACAGGACAAGACGAAAGACGGAGAAGAAACGACGCCATCAGCCAGAAGATGAAAATAGTGTCGATTTGGCCGAAGCTGGCCGGGAGATCGAAGCGAAACTTTTAGGTATGCCGAGTTCTCCGAAGTCCGCTCCCGTGTGCACTACCGAGCCCAGCGATCACGATGTCTTTCGATTCACCGATGATAATGACAGTGTTGAGCCGTCAACACCTTCGACAGCACCGGAAAAGGTCAAAGAAAAGAAGAAGAAACGGAAGAAATCGAAAGAAGAACGCAATCGGAAGGATTATCACCATCACCACCATCATCACCATCATCATCACGAGAAGAGTGGTGAATTACCTTATCTAGGCGCCGAACCTAGTCCACCGAGAGCGAGTAGTCCATTAGTATCTAAGACGATATCATCCAGTTTGCCCGCACCTAGAGAGACATTATTGAGCCCGATACCTAAAACGACTTCCAACGTGTCAACCGTATCATCGATAACCACTCCGGTTGTAAGTGATATTCAAACCTCTAAATCAGAGAAAAAGAAGGACAAATTTATACCCGGTTTTGGAATAGAAATAGACGAGACAATTCACGAGAATGCTGTGAAGAGTATCTCGGAGCCTGACGAGAAGGACAGCAATTGTCAATCGCGTGGCAGCAGAGAAGAACCAGAAGTACCTGTGCCAACAACACCACCGGCTCAAAACGAAGACAAGCCGCGAGTAGCAATATCACAGGAAGAAACTGAAGACGCTGTTGCCGCGTTACTCGAAGAAACGTTCGGCGCTTCGACGGAGGACTTCTCTTACGAGGGTGAGGAAGAAGAAACCGAAACTGACGGAATTACCGGAGCTCCGACCGAGGCTCCTCAAGAAGATGTCGAAGAAATGCAACAAGCTGTTGAAAGTTTGAACGCTTCAACAGTGGAAGGCGACGCGGATCTAAAGCCAGATACACCGCAGAGCGAACACGATCTACAAATTGACACGGATACAGAGGAGGATCCGAATTACGAGACGGTCGATTTGACGCAACCGCCAAAAACACCGGACATACCGTCATTCTACAAGTCTCCGACGAAAACGCTGAATGTGACGCCTGTCTTAACAACGCCTGAAAAATCAATCGAAATGCGACTACCGCCCACGGTAGTTACTAAACCACAAAGTCCACCGAGTTCCGTGATCGCTCATTCTTGGACTTTGAACGAGCACAAGCCGCGCGAATCCGTCAAGTTAGAAACCACAGAATCGGACATTAATATCGCTAGTCCGGAAAGAACGGTACAAGTGCAGAGACCATCCGCGTCGCCACCGCCACAATACAAGCAACCTATGTTGGTGCCGTGCAGCGTACCGATTACGAGTGAAATGCCAAAATCGCTCTCCGTTGCAAGTTCACGACCATCGCCGATTACGATGCAGCCTCTGTATCAGAGGCTTCCCGTGTCTCCGCAATCTCAGATGGTACCCATGCGCCAAGCCTCCCCGAAAATGCAAACGACGACTGTTTCTTGCTCGTCAACTTCCAATACGACACCATTGCCACCGTTAGTTCCGTCAAGAATACCACCTTTGGTACCATCGCAGTCATCGCCGCGCATTTCTCAGCCTCTTTCGCCCAACGGACAATGGTCGCGGAATCCTGCGTTAAGTCCACACGTACCTAACGTGGGTAAGAGAAAAGCTTCGCCACCACCTACCAAGATCGCGGTATGCGTGCCTATCCCTGCTCATAGACCGGAGGCGCCAGTTCAACAAATTTATTCGACCGCGGCGACTCAACAGCCAGTAATACAGCACGCCTCGGGAATGTTGGCACCTGCACCCGGTTATCCTCGCGGTGGTTTACCGCCGTTGACCTTGAATATTCCACCACGACCTTATATGCCTGTACCACCGTTAGCGTCCGGTATACAGGTGAAAAATTCGCGCGATTCCTCTTTAGGTGGCAAATCTGTAATCGAGACGCTACTACCGGTAAATCCGAATGAGCCGTCGCAGAGATTGGAAGAACCAAAATTGTCGCCCGCTATTATACCTGAATCAACCAACAAAGCGTCTACTTCGCCTAAGGTTCCATCACCGAATCAACCGCCCACATATATACCCGAAACAGCGAAGATCGAGATCAATGCCAGTACGTCTAGTCCGGTATTTGGCAAGCCAGCTTACGTCACGGACAGCTACACGATGTCATCTAGAACGCAGAAACAAATTTCTGTGTCTATTACAGACGGTAATCTGCTGTCGCCCAGACAGAAACAAGAAGTGTCAAATCTTCAACTTTTAACTACGCACGTACCTTCCACGCCCAGCCCTGTAATCGTGGCTCACGGTCAATCTCACCTACTTCACAAGTCGGTGCATACTCTAGGTCCACCGAATGTTTCTTCTCCAAATCAATCGTTAATAAAGACTGTAGTACCTATAGTTCCTCAGCAAATAACGGCGAGCGCGCCATTATCAATATCCGGCGACAAATCCGTCATCCCGCAAACGCCTTGTCAGAGACAGTCGCCTGTTTCTCAAGGTCAATTAGTTAAATCTCACATACCTCTGGTGTCTACAGAGTCGCAGACGATCATAACCAGAGTAGTATCATCGACCGCATCTTCTATATCGACGCCATTGATGAATGAATGTTTAGACCAACGCATCCAAGGACAACAATTGGAAGTAGACGCTGAAGCACAGATTAATCAAACTGCTCAACCGATGCAACTTACACCACCTATACAGTCAACCCAACCAATCGATGGGATAAAACAGGAACCAGTCGATGTTAAACAGGAAGATACAGTAGACGAAACTGAATATATTATAGCCGCGCCCGAGGAACTTTTGAATCAACCCAGCGTAGAAAATGATGTAAAACTAGAAAAACAAGAAATAGTAATTAAGACAGAGAATGCGCCATGCATTCCAAAAGTCGAAGTTGCCGATGTACTGATCGCAACGAAACTCGAAACGGAAACTCCTATAAAATTGGAACCTGTAAATGAAATTAAAGAAGAGATTAAGGAGAATGATGAGATGGAGTTAGACGAAGAGGCAGTAGAAGATCCGTTGAAAGAACCGAGCACGGATCCTCTTGCTATTGATTCTAAAGAAGATCCGATTGATAGTAAAGAGGATAGCGACTATTGGTCCGCGAAGGAAGTAAACATCGAAAGCGTAATAAAGAAAGTCGATGCTCTGTGCGACGGTGAGGGTAATGATGGCGATGACGAAGCGCAACAGAACGAAAGCGCGAACAGCGACTCGCACGATACAAGTAAGAATGAATCAGATTGGTTTGATCCCGTGTCATCGATAGAGGGCGAGAGTAAAAAGAACTTTGTAACAACTGACGAACACGACGAGAGTATGGAAACGTGCGAAAATGAGTCTACGAGGAGTCGTCGTGGCAGAGCGAAGAGTAGACGCGGCAGTCGTGGCGGGGTCACCACCAGGCGAGGTGGCAGGAACGCGAGCACTGTCTCTCACAGACGAGGTGGTAGAAGTTCCCGAGGTAGCAAACATCATGTTGAGAAGAATAAATTGCCTGCTGATGTTTACGAGTTCCATGACGACAGCGAGGAGGATAACGCCGGTCGTCCGCGACTTATTCTCACTATTAAATCTCCCGGACCAAACGTAACAGGATCCAATGCGCAACCAGCGATTCCCGTGGCCGCGGTTAAGGAAATACCGCCGGAAGAGTTTGTTTCTCCGGCTGCTAATACGAGGAAATCAAGAAGATTGGCGGAAAGAGACGGTAGTCGCAATACGGTCGACGATGTCATCGAGGATGTTGTCCGTGGATCACCTGCGAATAAAGGATTGGTCAGCAGCGCCGCCGGGAATGTGCATGCCACCAGGCGAAGTACTAGACACAACAATGCTCCTCGCAATACGACGGTGCAACCTATTGCGCCACTGACAACGGAACTTCGTAAATCACCTAGAGGCAATCGTAAGACGGCGAGGCGAACATCCGAGAATAACGAGGATAGCGGAGAGGAGAAGGCGAAGGAAGTAGTCGTGACGTCGCAAGAGATATCGATAAAAGAAGAACCAAAACCGGCTCAACCGGAAAGTCCAAAAACGGAGGAACCGGCTCAAATTGTTGTCACATCGGCGCCGCAGAAGACAGTGTCGCTCGAACCGATGACGTTGATCGATCCAGTCACGGGAATGTTGATACCTATGAGGGAATCCGAGGAGGGTCAATATATACCAGTATCCGCGGCATCCAGTCAGGTGCAAACTATCAATAGGACACCATGCGAACCTCGAAGCAGTGGATTAGTCAACGCAAGTTCGACAAATGAAACGCCACGAGTGAAATCCGAAAATTCTCCGTTAGTAATAGCAGCGGAGCCGAAGAAAGAGGTCGTTATAGAACATCCACCTTGTCAATCGACACCAACACAGCCGGTCCAACCGCACACTAGCGTGATTACGAAACCACAATCCCCGACAGTACAAGTGCAAGTTACCTCTACCATTACTATTGCGCAATCTTCTACGACAACCACGACTATTGTCACTACTGTGACTGCGACGTCTGTAGCATCAACTACAACGGCTCAACCTACCTCTTGTTCCTCGCAGACGAAACCTACGAGTCTTAAGGCGCACGTCTTAAACGCTAGCAAGCTCGTGACTTCGGCTCAGCAGCAGGTTGTCATCACGAAACCGGTGGCTCCAAGCTTGCCTAACCAAACGATAGTACAAAACATCGTCAAGTCATCCGCGCAAGCGATACAGGGCCTCAATCTGCAGATACCACCTAGCAGAGTCGTGTCGCCCAGCTTAAGTCCGCGTGCGAAACAGGCGGCGCAATTGACGCCAGTGAACACAGGCGTGAAGCAAGGTCAACCCATGTCACCCGTACTCAACAACACCGGAGCACCGCCTAATCCTAAACAACATCTTTTGCAAGCCGCCAAGCAACAAACGCCAACGATAGTAAACATGTCGCAAAAAATGCCAATAAATATGCATCCTGTTAGTGTAAACGTTACCAGAATGCACCCACCGGTCTCGCAGCCCACCGCTCTCAAGGGTATTAATGGACAACCTCATCCAATTAATCCAAAGACACATTTACTGCAAGCTGTAGTTCCACCGATTGTTACCGGGAGTTCATCTACGCAACCGCATCTCGTTAATCCACAGCCGATTTCAACCGGCAGTACCCGGCCACCGGTACCAAAAACTCCTGTATGTATAATAGAATATTAGATTGTATTTTAGATTTAATATTATACTCGACGCTAGAAATTATAAATCAACATCGATTAATATTTCGGAAACTTGTGTTTCAGGCCACTGGAACAATAGAACCGCAAAAAGTAGAAGTGCCGATGTCTGGTTGTATCATGATGCCAACTGCGAGCCCGCAAAGTCGCAGTGTACCGATGCCAACGTACGAGGCTCCATTGGTAAGTATTACTTATATTTACAGTATAAATACTACGTGTAAAAATCGTGCGCTTCAGTGACAAAAAAAAATAATAAAGCTAATATGTTGAAAACTGCATTAAATGCACTAACTCTTCGATTTTGATTAGCACGGAAGTACAGGTGCTACTCCACCAGGGGGTCAGTATGGTCTTGTCCCCCCGCATCGATCCCAGAGTCCTCCATTGCCTCCACCTGCCCATCATCACGTTAATACTTCACAGGTATTTACTTTCTCTCTCTAATATTTTTATATATTTTATAATATATTAATAGAACTGTATATGTGTCTCATATAAACAAAAAAACCAAAAAAAATTAATTTTTAAACATTAATAATAAATTTCTTGATATTGCATGAAGAATTTTTACGGATTGTTGTAAGTTAATATATAGATAATATTATTTCTTGATTGAAGTAATGATAAAGATAATCTTGTTTCACAGAATGAAGTTGTCAATCATTACGGAGGACTGACTCGTGGCGGAGAGCTGCCACCTCATTATTTACATTCTCAGATGTTACAATACCAATATCATCTCCGTGCGCAACAGGAAGCGTTAACGGCACCTCGCATAGCTTATCACATTCCAGGGACAAGATCTCCGCATCTACCTTTAGATCCGAAACTCGAGACCGGCATAGAGGACAGTCACAGTCCTCCTTTAGAATTGAGGCGAGGAACGAGAACACCTCAAGATCGTACCACCGATAGTCCACAAGTTGCTCAAGTTTATATGTTACACGGAAGATTACCACCTCCACCGCCGCAGTATAATGCGGGAAGTAATCCGTCATTACCCGGCACTCCGGCTGGTGCTAGAGCAGGTTATTACGAACCACCGCCCGCTCATTTACGTTCTCAATATCCGATGGCTGCCAGTGAAGCGCCACCTGAAATGGGCAGAGCTGCCACGCCGGAGAGATGCAGAAAACATCATGTCGTCACGCCACCACCGTATGCGTCTCAGGTGCCACCGCAAGCGGATACGTTTCAGATGTTACTCCAACGTTACCCGGTTATGTGGCAAGGTTTATTGGCGCTCAAGAACGATCAAGCAGCGGTACAAATGCATTTTGTTTTCGGCAATCCTAACGTGGCCAGAGACAGTTTGCCATGTAACAGCGATGGTTCCACACCACCATTGAGAATAGCTCAAAGAATGAGATTGGAACAAACTCAAGTTGAAGGCGTAGCGAGAAAGATGCAGGTGTGTGGTCCTTCTTGGCAGTTAAATATCGTTGTTTATATCGATATTTGATGATTTTAACTATTCTGGCTGAATTATTTTTTAATACATCAATTAAAATGTTTTCCAGACTGATAACGAACATTGCATGTTGTTGGCATTACCTTGTGGTCGTGATGAAGTAGATGTATTGCAACAAAGTAAAAATCTTCAAACAGGATTTATCATGTATCTCCAACAAAAACAAGCTGCTGGAATCGTAAACATTGCCGCACCCGGATCGCAACAGGTGAATCAAAATTCTTTTCATTATATGAAATTTTTCATTATATATGAGATACAAGCTCTCTATTTTACATGGAAACATTATTATGATGTATTCCTTTTATTTGTGATTCTCTTTTTTTTTTTTTTATTCTCTTTATTATTCTCTTTCCAACGAGATGCGATTAAGATGTAATGCTACAAAAATTTCTGTATTTTAGCCGGCATATGTAGTTCACATTTTCCCGTCTTGTGATTTCGCGCATGAAAATTTGGCAAGGATTGCACCGGACCTACTTCATCGTGTCGCAAAAATTGCTCATTTACTAATCGTCATTGCTACGGTTTGAGACCGATTATTGATCTACCGGATTACGATTTATCCGTATGTCTCGTCTTCACGCACCGCAGGACGCTTCATACCTGGCATGAAGCCTGGAGTGTCCGCTTGACACGCGCGTAGTTATGCGACAAAAAGCAGGATGCGCATTCAAAATGAAGAGCTCCTTATCCGGAGTTGTATCAGTGACAATCAAATGGAACCCGGCGGGGTAAACTGATCTTTAGATCGTAGGCCTAAAAACGGGGCACGAGGTTGTGCGGTGAAGTGAGGTTAGCACCTTCAAATGCGTTGGTCATCATCGTGCGTACCTCCCTTCGATGAAATTCGCGCAGGCAAGCTCGGTTCTTTCTTGCTTTTCTTCTTCTTCTTTTTCTTTGAACGGCTTGTAACTCGCGTCAATTATAATACTGACAATGTTTGTCGGATCGACCGACATCACTCTTGGTCTTTCTTACAAGCGGGTCAGGCACAACCCCAGCCTTTAAACAAGACCTTCGATTCGTCATGCGATACTCATTACTTACGTTCGTCCCTCCCATAGAGAAAGCAGTAAGAATTCATGTCTCTTAATGGACAAGTCAAACGCGAAGTAAAGATATAGAAGCAGCTAACATACCCTATCACTATCATGAGTTATTACGAGCTATTTCAAATAAGGTTTAGGCGTTAATAATAATAAAATAAATTGTGTAAAAAAATTATAAGCGAGCCACCGAGGGCATAACTACTGTGATTTTAAGTATTTAATAATAATGGTAACTGCGTAAAGAGGAAGAAGACAAAAGATAAAAACGTATAAGAGGGTGCCCAACTAATGGTCCGTGCGGTATGTGATGTGTTTTTGTATAAATACTGCTCTATATATATATATAAAATGACTATGTATTATACTATATTGTAACGAAACTATAACGATAATTTGCTGCTGCCCATTGCTGCTGCTGCCGCCGCCGGTCGTGTCGAGTTTAGAGTGTAAATTATAAATTTAGTCCTCTAGCACAGAGAATGAGAAAAGTTGGGTCACCCGCGTAGAATTTGCGCGATCTATTCTATAGATCTATCCTAGTGTATCTATGATTTCCCATAGCAAGATGCGAATTTGTGAATTATTATTACTATTATTTTATTATTATTATTAATCTCTCGTGAATTACTAAAATTCCTCTCATACATATAGCATACTCTCTTAGCATTATATGTATCTTATAAAAGAATTTTTAACGTTACTACTTATATTCTTTATTATGATTATTATGATTACTATTAATGTTAATAACAGTGTTGCCAGTGTCAAAATTATAACTACAAGATTTTTCAACACATTGAGGAATTAAATAAATTAGACGGTTCCCTCCTTCATTGTAAGAATTTTATTATTATAATTCGTCTAATTTATTTTTTTAATAAATGACCTTGGTAACACTGATAATCGCCCATTCTTATTACAATTATCATTAATATCAATTATTATTATTATAATTATGATTATATATTATTACGATTACTATTACTACTGCTATTGCTATTATTACTACTATACTATTACCACTACTACTACTTACTATTACTATTACTACTCTACCACTACTCTATTATCGCTGCTATTAATTATTATTAACGTTATTGCAAAAGGCTAGCTAGGGCATACCAATCCGCACACATTTAAGGATAAAATGGGGCTTATTTGTCATACTGGGAAAATGTATGACCGATCTCATTGACCATTGACGACGCCCCATTCTACGCACTTCCATCCTATAAAGTTGGATATATCTGAATGAATGAACGCTGAACAGCGAATGCGAAATTAATGTTTATTAATATTTGATTCGCGTTCATCTGCTGCTCATTCAATTGCAGTAAATATATCTATCTTTATATCCCATCCCTATCGATTCCGTCGCGCGACGACTCATAGACTTTTTAGCATTCGTGTCCGAATAAATGCGCTTACGTGTATAGACCAGAGGTTACACTATATCACACACCAAGCCGTCAAAAAACATTTTAAATAAATTAAGAAACTTATATCTATTTACGATATTATGCCGCTGCACGTAGAACGCATGCCTCTAGAGAGTAATTTTCATGCAAGAATCAGGGATGGACAAAATGTATGCAATTATTTGTTCAAGTTATTTGTTGCTGAATGTAGCAAGAATAATTTAAACTTTAAACGATACGCTCTTTTACGAAGATCCGTATTTCTTTTCCCTAAACGAAAAATTTAATTTTCTTTCGATATTTGTAAAATGTCAAGACATGCAGAAGAGAATGTACCGAGTATATATTGTTTACTTTATATTCATACTTTTAATTTTAACCGAATAGGACGCATCGTTCAAGTGGTTCAGGGACACTCGATTCGATAAATTTGTTACTTTTATTTTTAACCGAATAGAACGCATCGTTTATGTTTTAAATGTCCATTCTATTGTTTTGTCCATCCCTGCGACATGCAATTACCTTAAGGCAGCGCGGATACTCGCAGAGCGTGTGCATGTACAGTGTAAAAGATGCGTTGTGGATATGTACAGTGTAGAAGTATAACTAAGCAAGAGAGAGAGAGAGAGAGAGAGAAAGAGAGAGAGAGAGAGAAAGAGAAAAGTGATAAAAAAAGGAGCGTTATATATATATATATAAATATTATAGCTATAAATATAAGTATATAAGGCGCGAAACGTGCGCACGTGTCGTTAATTTCACGCAACTCATTTATTTTTATGAAAATGTTGCGTTTTCCCTCCTCTTTCCGCTGCAGCCAGTCATATAGCATAGGTGCAGGATCATGTACTTTCTGTACCGTTGTTAACGCGACATGTGCGCCCGTCGGCGGGCCTCACCTATCTTGTAAAATATCTGTGAATATTATGATTTAGTTTCTTCCTAATTGTAGGCTAACAGAGAGGAATACAAAAGAATGTTTACGTTAATCATTTAAGGAAGAAAAAATGTACAGATATCACTATATTCTTTTTTTTTTCTTTTTTTTGTTTTGTGTTTTACTGTAGTTATTGATAATTATATGGATATTAACGATAATAATAACTATGATTAAAAGAAAAAAAAACTTAAGCTCGGCTCGATTGCGTCATTCTTGAAAAAACCCGCTAATGCGCAATATATTTATTCTGTGTAAGAGAAACTCTCGGTGATAATGTATCATTTGTATATTAGTAATTACGTGATCTCCTAATAATCGAAAAAAAAGAAACTTGAATAGAATTGGATATACGTTACGATGTCATATACCGTTCCATCTCCTAAATTCATCACAATTTATCCACGATTTATTTCTATATGTCATCTACATGCGTTCTTCTGAAATGTTAATGCGTTAAAAAACGTATGTTAAGAACTTTCTTTTTATATTAGATCAGGAGCTGGACTTCTCGCTAGAAAGGTAATATAATAAAACACAAACTATTACCTCGAATATTGACGTATATTTCTCTTTTTTTTTTACGGTCTTACATTAGTTTTATTTTTTTAATCTTATTGCGAACGAATTGCGAAAATATATCGCAAGGCAATGATGTTATTTGAGGAACGGCTTTGTATGTGGCCTGTTCTATATAATCTTATTGAACGAAGCACGGATTAAGAGATGCGGATTAAAATAAACAGCAATAAGCATTGTGATATGAAAAAGCTTTTTCCACAAACCTTATTAAGAAAAAATATTTAAGATTTCTTCTATGTATAGAAGAAAAAAAAATATTCTTTTCTACGTTTACATCTATGTTAATTTAAAAATCATGAGAGCAAATATTTTCTCTCTAATATAATTACTTAAATTGAGTCAAAAGCGATAATCTTTAGCATCGCACTTGTAAAAATTGCTCATCTGACTACATTATTAGACCATTCAGGCCAGTCTTGAAGTTGCAAGTAAAGTTGATATCCTGGACTCGCTGTTTGCTGTACTTGTCGCGCAGCAAACACACGTACGTCGTTTCGAAGGATACCCTGGGATTTGCCACATTCAATTAATTGATGCGCAGCGTTCAACATTTTCTGGCTGGCCTGTTTGTCTGAGAATAAAACAAGAAATGACAATTATCTTGCCGAAATAAAGTATAAATATATTAAATACATGGTAAATATGAAAGATATAAATATTTTTCCGCGATACTTACTTTCAAAATTTCCAATGAAACCTATTCCGACAGATTTTTTATTATATCCGTATGTGTGCGCCCCTTCGCGTGTCCATCCACATCCCTCATATACATTTCCATCGCCACCAATTAAGAATCTTTAAAAAAAAGATCGTTTATTGATCATAATATTTTTCTATACATCTTAATATTATTAGATATTTATATGTTACAAAAATGATTGTAATGTCTGTTTCATAAATGTATTTGTGCTCAATAACAGGAGCTGAGATAATAATTATTAGAACTTACGAATAACCGATATCATCCCAGCCATATTCGTCCATATGAAAACCGCGGATGCCATCGACACGGGCTGTACACGCTTCCCGCGAATTACATTCGGGCGTGACTGTGTGTTGTATTATTACATAAGGAATCGGTACTATTAAATAGTTCACATCTCCAGCGGGAACGGAGGTCCATTGATTTCTGCCGATAATATTGGGACATTTAACCTCTGTGAAAATTATTCAATTAAAGATTTTATATATTAATTGATCTCGAGAATATAAATTAATATCTTCGTAGATTAAAAGATTACTAGATTAAAAGATACTTAAATCGAAAAATTTAATTTTTCGGAGGCCTTCATTTTTCACCATTCTCTATTTGATTATTTAAAAATAAAATATATTCAATTACGTATGTCTCCACGAAACTACATCGATTGATTTCGTAAAAAAATGAAAATGATATAAATTTCAAAAAATTTTTGTAAAATGGCAAGGATCAATTTAACAAAAATTTAAATGTCAGAATATTTACTGGCAAAACTGGCAGGAAGCACCAGCAAAAGTACGAAGCAGATCCTCGACAGCATGCTTGCAGCATGAAATGCAGACGTACAACTGTAAGACAAACATCAAAAGATATAATGTCAGTATCAGTATTGCTCCGGGGGCAATCCACAAGAGATGACGAAAGAGATTCGCGGAATACATTTTTTTTTTTGCTCTTTTATGTATAATTTTTAAAGATAGCAAAGAGAAAGAGCGGGAAAGAAAGAAAGAGGGAGAGAAAGAGAGAGAGAAACAGCTGACAAATGTCAATTAATTATTTTTACTTTTTCTGTCAATTAAATTATCATGTTTATTAATGATCGCATTACCCATTTTTAGTATGAATATTTCATTAAAATATAAAGAATATGATTTCTTAAATTCACATCTAATGAGAGAAAAATAAAATTTTTTTCGAATCAATACGAATCAAAACATAATGCGAAAGCAATATCTCGCTATATTCTCAACACAATCGATTTGTCGATTCAGCCGACTGTGTGGTTTGCCGACATCACGAGTTCGTAGTATCTTTGTGTTGACATTGAAAAAAGATTATTATGGAAACCGTTCGACCGTGTGGCTGCAAAGGAATACGCTCTTGCTTAATTTGCGAGGCTAAATATCAAATATTGAAGCCGGATCTGAAGGAAGTATTACAGGTATCTTGGAAATTCTCTTAACCTCTAAATCAAGATATGCGTGATGCATTGAAACTTCTCAGAATTGGGGGGATTCTTACTTGTAATTGAGGACAGTAAGATGTACATCAGGGACTTCCCACATTATCGTTTTATAAATATATATGTTCTCTAATTAAATTTTTATTACTCAGAATCCATAATAAATCCAATTTTCAGTGCAATTTTCCTCACCTTAAACTTTAAACCATCTTTCAATCCGTTAATATTTTGTATTTTATAAGAGATTATTATATATTGTAATATATACTTACAAGTAATCCTCCTTGAAAGATTAATATTTAGAGATTTATATCTGAATATTTTATCTGAAGTTTTTGTCTTTTCTATCTGTTGTCTGCTATACACTGGTTTGTTGAATATAAGTAGTTGGATAGAATACTAGAATAACCAGTTTGCAGTTTTTTGTGCTAAAAGATGAGGCATTTATCTTGTGTTTTCCTTATTTTACCTCAATACTATCCTCATATATTTGATGTAACATTACAGTGTATTCTATTTGTTGAATCTGCTCCTAGCTGGATAAAATACTAGAATAACCAGTTTGCATTTTTTTGTGCAAAAAGACGTACTTACTTTATCTTTCTTATTTTGCCTAATATTATTCTTTTACATATTCTTTCACATATTTGATATTTGACTTGAACTATTATAAAATAAAGTAATTAAAAATACAATATATATATATATATATATATATATATATATTTTTTTTTTTTTTTTTTTTTTTTTTTTAATATAAATCTTTTTATATAAACTCATTTACAACTTTAATTATTTTTTATACAAATTTGCATGGTGTTTTTAATTATTGTTTAATTTTTCAACTAGTTTAAAATATATTCTAAATTTTACAGAAAAGCAAATCTTATGTTTATTGCCCATATTGTGATAAATCATCACCTGGATGGGATATAGACGAGTATAAGAAGCATCCTTATCATGATGGAAATTTAATTGACTATCCTGGTGTTTATATCAAAGTACTGATTTCAATAGACTATTGTGTATCTTATAACATACTTTTTAATATATAATTTACTAATTTACTAATTTAATATATATTTGTTTCAGTTAAATTTCTTAAATGAAGATGAGGCTAAGAAACTGATGGAAGCACTTGATTATCTCCCTTGGCAAGCTTCACAGAGTGGTAGAAGAAAACAGGTACATTTATAAATATTACTATTATAAATTACTATTATAAAAATTAATACACTTCTATGTATTTATATATTTTAAATTAAAATGTCAAATTTCAATTTATAGAATTTTGGGCCAAAATGTAACTTTAAAAAACGAAAATTACAATTAGGAACATTTAATGGTTTTCCTAAAACAACACAGTTTATACAAAATAAATTTGCGGAAATACCACTGCTACATGGTTTTCGAACTGTCGAACAATGTTCGCTTGAATATGATCCCAAACGAGGTGCCTCTATTGATCCTCACATTGACGATTGCTGGATTTGGGGAGAACGTATAGTAACTGTTAATATTCTTGGTGATTCTGTTTTGACTATGACACCTTATCGTGGTTCAATAATGCGATACAACTTGGACTGTGTTTCGAGTTATAATTCCATCTTAGAGAAAGATTTTTGTAATAACACACAGATTAATATTGATGATAACATAGTACGATTACCGATGCCTGCCAGGTCACTCATGATTTTACATGGTCCAGCAAGGTACATTTTTCTTGTAGACGAAAATATACTATATCACAAAGAATTGATATATTATTTTTGTTTCACAGATATCAATGGGAACATTCCATTCTTCGACAAGACATCACATCGAGGCGCGTTTGCCTCGCGTATCGCGAATTAACGCCACCCTATCTTGAAAATGGAGAATATCATAAAGAAGCTTCTGAGATTTTGAGGCAAGCTTTATCATTCTGGTGATATTATTATGAAATAGATCTAAATGATAAATTTATTAAATTTATTTAATATATTTTTTATTTAATGAGATGAATATACATGTGTAAATATCATTTAAAAAGATACTTTATTCATAGCATAAAAGTACAATGCATACAATTAATAAAATTCAATAAGTATTAACAGTCTGTGTAATAATTTGAAAGTGTGCGTGTGTTAATAATAATTATTAATCGATAATTAAATTAATTATCAATATTTAAATTAATATTTGAAAAAATATTCTTTTTCTCTTGTAATAAACATTTTTATAATTATCTATAGTATAAAATTTAAAATGAATTTAATGAATTCACTTGAAGTTTGAATTCCAATTAAAATTTCTTATTATTGTACAAATTATTTAAAACTGATAAACTATTTATATCTAGTTAGGAAAATATATTAATCTTTAATTATGTAAATCACAATTATTTGGTATTAAGTACTGTTTTCTTATGTTATATATGGTAATAACCCATTGAATTCTATGATAAATGTAAAAGCATAAAAAATAAATATTGGTTTCCGTATAAATGCTCTTACATATTTATGTTATGGAAAATAGAATCTTTGTATGGATCAGTTTTTTTATGTTTGTAAATTTCTCTTTGTGAGAACAATAGGAATAAAAATATATCTGATCCTATTAAATTTTGTACTAAAATATTAACATTTTTTTTCGCTTTTCAATGGATAGTCCGATGACATATATATTACGGGAAACGTAGTTAAAGGATCCGATTTTCCCAACGGTTCATAACCGTTTACGAGATTTTCTCGTAATTCCCAGCGACGTCTTTCCCTTTCTGTCTTTTGACGTCTGATAGCTCGGCCAAGCATACACGCGAACATAATTCCCGTTAACTAGAAAGAAATAGTCGACAGATTATTAGTTAACTTATTTATTTTTATAAGTTATATTCTCGAGATTATTTTAATCGTAAAATAGACAAATTGGAGGATGTAATAATTTCGAAGTTAAAATATTAATGATATGTATATAATTTGTAAGAATTTATGGAAGATTTATTGAAGATTTTAGATATATATATATTACAATTTATTATTCCAGAATATTCTACTTCAATATGTATGTCACTTAATGTTGGCACATGTTTTATCTATCCAGCAATGTTACATAATAAACTATGATTTCATAGTTTAGCGTGCAGGAGAATGATTAAAATTAAATAGAAAAAAATTGAATCTTACTAACCTGAATAAGAGCAATCGCTACAGCTCCTGTGCCAATATAAAGTGCACTGCGGTAAACAATAATAGAAAGGCGACTGATACAGCCATCCTGATATCTTCCGTGGCAACGACCCGCAAATTCAGCTATCTCGTCTATTATATATGCACAGCAAGAATCAGGTACATCCATATTCGTTTCGTTTAACGATACATTTACCCAATCCATAGAATTATTATATCCACAGCAATGTAACTATAATGAAAAATTTATTATATAAGATCGATTATTTCTCAAAATGTTTTTATAGAGATAATATATTGTAACATCTTTAATAATTTTTGTAACACATATGCAACATGTATCTCTTTTTTAGCTACAAATTTTTCTATCAATTTGTAAAATTGTCTTTTTTTTATAAAAAAAGATTAATAATTCTAAAACTAAAGTTGGAAATTTGAAAAAATAAAAATAATTACTCTTAATATTTTTGTTAAAAGAAAACTAATTTTAAATCAAAGAAATATTTGTAGCTGGCAAATAGTTCTACCAGAATATTTTATATACTTGCTATATCCCCGACACACAATATGTATTTTAGTTTTTATATAACTTTCTATAATTTTACTTTTGTGTGTTTTTTAGAAAAAAATGATAAATCATTTTATACACATAAGTTCACATAAGTTACAACTAATATGAGAATGGTTAATCCTCTTACCCTAGATTGCATAAAATTGATTGCAAACGTGGCTTCCTGGTTTTTTCCATATTGATGCATTGTTAGATTGATCTTTTCAGCTAGAAGATCTTTAATGCCATCTTGTAGGCTGTATGCAGCAATAGCTGCTGCAAGTTCCAAGACCAAAACAAATGACAGCAAAACTGCAAACTACAAACACAGAAATGAATATAGTATATATATCAGAAAATGATATTTAAAGCAAATAGAAGGACTCTAATGTCTCACTTACCACAAGAACCATGCAGGTACTTTCCCTAATCGCGCCACAGCATCCCATGAAAGCGATTATAAAGATAAATATTCCGACAACGATTAAGAGCGTGGCTGGCGAAAAGTAGCTTGGATCCAGGAAATGTGAAAAATTCTCGTAAACGGCATAAATTGTTGTGCCGACCGATATTATCATTACCCCCGTCAGCTATAATAAAATAACGACAAAGATAATCAATGTTCTGCAATCAAACCTACATTTAATTATGATGTTTAGGTTTTTTAAATTGCTATTTTCAATTATTTGAGAGATAAAAAGAGAGAAGAGTTTTTATATGTTTATAAAAACTGTCATATTTTTTCATATACAACTCAAAGGTTTATGCATGTAATTTCTAATTCTGCATTATAAATTCTATTTCTATTTGTAGGAATAATTTTCAAATGTACAGCAAATCAAACATAACATGTTTATTTTGCTTTATAGTACGGGATTTTTTAATTATCTTTACAATACGTAGTTGGCATCAGTTGTATAATAATATTATGTGCAATATGCATGCTCAGTAAACTTTTTAGATTAGAAAAAGAATATGACGCTTTTTTATTACTGTTATAGGAAATATATTGCTATGTACATACCAGTTTCTACTTATTCTACAAAGTGAGCTACTTATTTCTACGCGATAAACTGTACTAACTCTTTTATAGTTGATACAAGTTTATGTGTTCTCATTGAAACTAAATTTAAACTATTTCAAACAACAAGTTATCGAAAACTAGATATTATACTAAGATAGGAAGTTATTAAATTTTTAATTCCATTTAAATAAACAAGCGCGATTGGACAAGAAACAATATAGTAGTTAAGAAATATATTTTTCCTCTAATCGATAACGATATAATCGAAAGGCAATCAATCGTTCCATCAATTTACACAAACTTTATAATTTTTCATTCTACTCAGGTTGAACTTTCTACCTTGTTAAAGTCGATGATACCGAGCGAATCATCATGTAATTTATCTTTACTGATAAGCGGCCAAGTCACTAAATAGATATAACAGCGCATAAATTCAAAGGTGTTTAAGATATTTTTCGAAAACATTAAACTGTATCCTGGATGTGCAAGACTACAAGACTACGAAAAAGTTGATAATTTTTAAAAATCAAATTTTTATAAAAAAATTTTTATCTTTGTTTTCATCAAATCTTGAATGTCAATATTGTCGTTTAAGAAAAATAAAAGAAAATTTCTGTCTTTTTTAAAACATACATATGTAAACATAGAATATCTCTCTATAATAATAATAAAACAAATACAAATTTGCACAAACTCATAAGTATAATTTATTAGTGTCATAATACAGGATAGCTAGCACAAATTTTGCTAGATATGCTTATTGTTGATATTCTATTATTCATCGTTCATTAATCATATATTATGTTTAGGTTCCTGTATACGAGAATTTTAAGATTGCGATAAACAAAATACAGAAGGAAGTAAGGTACGGAAGAAAGCACGTGGTTATCGCTTTTTTATTTAATCGAAAAGTATATAATCAGGTTGAGCCGACCTGTACGCCCATCCCTAATAATTCAGCAGTGCATAGCCTTGTCTATATAATATCGACCACAGTTGCAAAAGTGTATTCTCTCTAATAAAGAAACTCAAACTTCGTGGCCCATATCGCTCTCCGCATGATGGAGAGAACAAAGGATAGGCAATAAAAATATTAATATCGCAAGAGAAACATCTGCTTTTGTCTTTGTACCATTCAAGTACTCTTTATACTTGAAGACGTTAATATCCTGTCTCCTTTATCGTGCTTTCTCTCTCTCTTTTTCTCTTCGTCATTCTACAGATGTCAATAATCAGATACGCATTATCTCGAATTTTTTAACCGAAATGGCAAATTGATTTAATCGATACTGGTGCTTGATGTTATCACGCTTCAGAGAACTGTATTATTAAAGTAATATTAATGTAAATTTTTTAAACACATGTAATTTCAAGAACTATGAATTACGAAATTATGTGTACGCAAAAAAATACATGCGGAAAATGAGTCACTTTTAGAATTAATTGCCGCTTATGTCATCGGAATATTCTAACAGCTGCAGCGATGATAAATAAAATTGATAAAACTACACATTATAAGATAATTTAAAATGCGAAAAAAAAACTTGGAAAAATTCTTTCTATATATATAAAATATTTTATTTTGCATAAACTATATATGTATGCACGTTATAAAAAAATGAAAATTTTTCTTTACAGAAAAATTTCGTTTTATTTTGGCCCTCAATATCGTTTGTCTCTTCCTATCAAAAATAAGTTAACGATTACAAGTGTTTTCATAATAAATTGAAGTCTTGCTTTTAGGATCCAGTTATCCATATCTATAATAAACATTATTGCTGTAACAGCAATCGATAATTATAACGTGTGGTATAGTCCACATGATAGAACTCTAGTATAATGCGCAATTGCACCTTCTTGAAATTGCGTCGCAATGGCATTTTCCAAGGACCTTCACGATAATGTATATGTTGACTCGTGAAGTTGGAAGACTTTTCACGCATATCAGGAGGGGCTTAATACACGTATATTGCCTCAGTTTCCAAGAATACCCGTCCCGATAAGCTTACTACGACTCGATAAAAAAATGCAATTTATTTCCAAGTCCAAAAAAAGTACCGCCATTTACGAACATGTATATATAATTACAAGTTAATATGTCTCGAATCAATGTACAGAGTATTGTCAAAATAACAAATTACATTGTCGAAGTACATATCAACAATTTTCGTATAGAATCGCAAGGTCCTCTAAAAGAATTGACTCTGTGGTTGCGAGAAAAATTCAAATCGTACGCGAAGTAAGGAAAGAGGGAAATACAATTAAAAAAAAAAATACGACGATGTCGCATACGATACAGACCACGAAGAGGGAGTTGACTGCGAAAAGCAGATACTTGATACAGCGAAGGCCGACGTCGAGGTGCGTGGCCGCCATTTTGGTGCTCGTGTAGACTCGTCCCGGACGCAGATACATGCACAGCAACACAGATCCGCGCACTCCCGACGCACTTGACGCACCGACTGTTGATGACGGTCCCGGATATCGGCCGATCAGTCAGCCCGGCCGTTATCAGCTCGCCGATAACGAGTCGCGAAAACGTACGAATGCAAACGGACGACGACGGGCGACTGTTCGTGCGTCACGCGATCTCGCACGATCGCGCACGCCGTCTTTTCGATGTATGATGTACCGACGCGGGCGATTTCCTTGAGAACGTCCAAGAATGAGAGAGAAAGAGAGAGAGAGAGAGAGAGGGAAAAAGTTGGGATAATGTAAAAAGATATGACAAAGCACGCGTGCGAATTTGATAGAGCGTATCAATATATTGACGATAGTCGCATATAAATTCACGTGCAAGCAACATCCACGTGGCGTATACGCTTGCCAATGAGAGCTCGATATTTAAAAATTATGTTCCTCTCTCTCTCTTTCTTTCTCTCTTTCATATCGATATATAAATTTATTATACTTTTTTATAGCATAGACTCTATGTGTGCAGGGTATCTCAATCAGCTGAGACATATTTATGCTATCTTTAACTTTGTGTACAATGTTATATTTATATACGCACGATATTTAAATACGTTCGTTGTTTATTTAATTTAAAAGAACAAATTTTAATTCATTAAATTGTAATAGGACATTAAATTCAATGTTATTGCAATTTATTTCTTATTATATTTTATTGCTCGATATTTAAATAGAAAGATTTCAAATTAATCAAATATTCTATGGATGGAAAAATTATATAAAAAATTATTTAAAAAATTATATATATATTATTTATTTATTTATATGAGCGTTATTTAATATGTAAAAAAAGTATAATGTACAATAATGTAATATATTGAAATCGGATACAAAAGGAGATTGAAATTCTCGTGTTGATGGATATAAGAGACGTCTACTTGTGCTCGTTGCTATGTTTATACACGAACAAAACAACACGAGTGATGATTCATATGAATACGATTAAATTAATATTGTGTGTGTGTACATATATGATTCGCACAGGGACACAAACATACGCACTTTAATTCTCTTTTATTTCTGTAATTTGCAAATTCTGCAAGTCTTGCAAAAGTTTGTTTGCAAGAAAATTTTTCGAAAGAATTACCGCAGAAGCTTTTTTGTATAAAATAAATGATTATATGTTTCATGTTTATAAAAATATAAAAATAACGATAAATCAGGAACTAACCATGTATTTCAAATATACAAGAATTATAATAAATGCAATGTCATAAAAATACTTTTGATGATGTAAAATATTTTATTAAAAATATTCGAAACATCACGAAGTAAAACACGCGTAGTAAAAATAGTTTATTACCCTTACAATGATAAACGGTATATTCAATGTCATATTCGGTATATTCAAAATCATAACAAATCAATAATTCAAATAATTCAGCTCGAAAATCAGATCAATAATTCCATCAGGACAGAGCAAGGAAATTCTTGAAAAGCTTAATTGTAATCTATTTCTAGAAGAGTTTAATTGCAATCTATTTCTCTAAAAAGATATATAACATAACACACTAAATTTAGCGTGCTCAGCATTCCCATGGCACTCTACATGGTCTCGTAACTATTTCTTATTGATTTGGCTAAATAGGATGACAGGAAGATACCTATCAGCTGTAACATAAAACACCACGCACAATTATTCCTTTTTTTATATAAATAAAATACGCAGGAATTTCAAAGAATATTTGTTTTAAATAATGAATACGTATGAAACGTTTAGAATATGTGTATTAATATTGTACTTGATGAAGAATACCTGAATTACACCGAGAGTCAGTCCAACACCCACTATTTTGGCCGCGTGTTTCTTCGCAAAATCCGCAAACTCTTGCATGCAACCTTTGTGATGTAACCCTGTTGATTCTAGAGTACAATTCGATATGCCGACAGCTCCTACCGTTGCATAGCAGCATGACATCGGGATACCCGGCAAGGGTTTGTCCAGTTTCAACCAGTCGGAGGCGTTGTTCGTACCACAACAATCAAACTGCGAATTGAAATTCATGCATTACGTCACGCGAAAAGCAAGTAGATGTTTAAAGTCAATCGCGGAGGAGATATTTTTGAAAGCGTAAGTCCATGATATTTCCCGTTATCACGTACGACATCTCGTACGAGATGGTTGAGCGTGGTCAAGGAAGCCGGCGACATAAAAATCGATTCGCACTATCCCCTTGTGGCGCACGAGGAGGGTTCTACCACACATACATGTATTATACACACGACGAATTAGAGCCGTGCACTGAAATTATCCCTTGTAATCGCTTGTCGTTCACGATATCCTCGCGACGATCGCGTCGCTCCCACGATAGGGAAGGCATAGAGCGAAGCGCGAAAAACTTGTAAAGGTTGCCGTCGAAAAAAAAAAGAAGAAAAACAAATATATAGTCCATTATTTTGAAGATATTTCTTCGACCGCGTATAATATATTAAACGATAATATATTAAGCGATAATCGTAGATAATTGCACATTACGTCTCGTTGCAGATTGTCCCAGACAAATTGAATCTCCTCGCTGTCATTGTATTTGGACATCGTTTCGAACATCTTGTCCTGGGCAACTTTTGCGACCCGCGATCTCATCACGTATCCCATCGTACCTCCTATGAGCTCCAGGATGAAGATCGCGACTAGAAGCGTGCAGAACTGTAAGAGAGGATTATAAGTGATAAGATGAGAATTATTAAGGTATTGAAAACATTTTGGAGTATCTCGAAATATTTTTTTATTTTTTTTAAATAATTTTTTTTTAAATTGATAAATATTGGCAGACAGAATTCAATCTCGAGGAACTCGTAAAATATTTAGTTAGTCTCCTGCAATATATTTTTGCGTCAATTTTTTAAAGTAACACCGGAAACGCACCCGCCCTTGTCTGCGAGGGAGAATAACTTTCTCGGAATAACAGTCGGGTTGATAAAATGGGCAGGACACACACATGTCGATTACACACTTTGTACGCAAAACATATGATCCATTACATTATGGAAATGAAGGGGAAACGATAATACTATCGTACGCAGATAGTTGAGCTTTTTTGCTTACACGCGTTTTCTTAGGTAAAAAATAATCCATTTAGTAAATGTCTAGTATAATAGACATACATAAATTTATTTATTTAAAAAATGTTTTATGAATCTGTATAAATTTATTTATTTATTTAAAAAATATATTAGAGTATATATTTATATATTTAATAGAAAAAGAATCCTCAAAGTATATTTATAAATGTTTGCCTTACCGTTACGATCATGCAGTGGCTTTCGCGAATGGCTCCGCAGCATCCGAAGAAGGCGATGATGAAAATAATAGAGCCTATGGCTACAAGAAGAGAAGGTACGGACAAGAAACTATTGTCAAGGAAATGTTGATATTTATAATACATTCCATGGATGATCAAGCCAATTGATAACAGCACTATTCCTGTAATCTGTTAAACAATAAGCATATAATTAATCAAGGAAAAAGAAGCTGTTAAAATTATATACAATTCATAATTAAATTGATTAATTTAATTATATAATAATTTTTTAATAATTCCAATTGCGTAATCAAATAACTAAAGTATAATAACTAAGTAAGTAAACAATATAATATCATTATATAACATTATATAGAATTATATAATAATATAATATAATTGCGTAATTAATAAAATAAATAATTAATATTTCGATCAAAGAATTGAAAGAATCATCGATTTTTTCTTTAATCGCGTCAACTTTTTAACGAAGATATTTCTCGATATATTTCCACGGGATAAGCTTGAACTTGAAATTCGTGTGCCTTAACTCAACATCGTACAAATTGAACGCATTCTCCAACAGCTGCGGTGTCCGAGCGGTTAAGGAGATGGACTTGAAATCCATTGGGTTCTACCCGCACAGGTTCGAATCCTGTCCGCAGCGAATTTTTTTTTCCTTCTCAAATAATTATTTATTTAATAAGAATGTACACGTTCATAAACAGACATATAAATATTTTCAATTTTTATTATGTCTCTTATATACGATAAATTTATTGTAAGATATTTCTGTCGGATAATTAGTGGTTTATTATTTTCGCAGTTTTCTTCGATGAGTGAGCTAACTCAAAGTCATAACCGATAAACATTTAATTTAATTTTAAATTAGATTTATATGTACACAAATGTTTAAATGGAATTTATATTGCAGAGACATAAACAACATATACAGAGTAAACAGCATTTTCATTTAGAATTTGTAATTAAGCGTTGTGATGGCTCATAATTCAAGAACTTTATGTAAATTAAGGAAAATAAATATTATTATAATATAATATTAAAGAAATAAATATTAATGAAAAAACATAATTTTTAAAAAACAATTCGTGATATTACATGTGATAGTATAGACTAGATATGATTGCTGTAAACTTTCCGAAATTTCTCAATTGAATCTGATTTCTTAAAAGCCGATCTTAATTATTGTATTTCCTAAATATAATCTGTGATTGTCATAGCAACATTAAAAAATAATTATATTGTAAATGTAGCATTCTTCTCTTAAATTTCAAAACAGTCAGATGCACTGACTAATTTCAGTCTCGGAGTGCGGTAGATAAATAATATTTATCTACCCCGCACTCGAGACCGAAATATTTATTTAAGATACTCTCGCTCATGATTAAGGAAATGGTAAAGGTTAACACAATAAATTTATGTATTGTACTTGCCATATTTGCTAGTGATAAATTTCCGATTTTAAATTTTATATTATCAATATTTTTATATAGGCTCATATGTATAATATAATCATCAGAATGGACTCTGCTAAATAAGATAATTCCATTCGTACGATACTCATTTTAATATGATTGTTAAATATGCAAGATATACAATCTAGAAGACGTCTAAACATCAATTACAGAGATAATCAGTTTTAAACACGCAAAGTTTGTGTAGACAGTTTATCTAGAATGTTTTACCTGTTGAAAAAAAAACCAGTAAAAAATCTCCATTAAAACTTCAATTAACAAAGAGATTCACGATAAAATTTCAACTTCAATCAATATTCATGGCTCTACGAGCATCTTTTCGCAAGCTCACTTCAATTAAATTTTGATCAACATTTGACATTCGCAGAGTCCGTAGATAGCAATCGTCAATTTTCAATGGTCGCGCTAAGTAATGCGCACATTGACTTGGTCGATAGAATGGTTCGATAGCTCGCCGCGATCGAAGCGTGCCACCTCATCGGTCCGAGAGGAACGCGATCGTCCGGCCGTCCAGCTAATGCTTACCACGAAGAATAGGTTGAAAGCGAACATCAAGTACTTGATGGTCTTCGGTGCCAGACTCAGCTGCATCGTTGCCGTCGTGCTTGGTGCTGTGGTCCTTAATTACGCGAACTTTACGGATCGCACTCTTCTCGCGCGAGCGTGATAATCTGTCAAAGGCGAGTCGCGTATGATACTGCGCGATCGAGAACACGAAAAATGCGTCGAAAAAGACTTCTTGAGCAAGACGCGCGTTCCGAGGTGGCGCCGATGTATATGTGCGTGCCAAGTATATATAATACATACATGTGTACGCGAGATTGCGTGTATGTGTAAACGTCGCGCGCGGTGAAGAGAGAGAGAGAGAGAGAAAGAGAGAAAGACCGGTCGAAATCTCGCTTTATATTCGTTTCAAAATACATTAATCGCAGTTGGTAAGGTATTGGTGCAGCTCGCGTATGTACACCTGTCAACGATCCGCGGCTGTGTTTTAATAAGGTTACGAAACTTGAAAGGCCGCTCTCGATGATTTTCCGATTTTACATTGTACAGCGTTGATAAATTTAGTTTATGCGCACGCGACAATATTTCTGGTTGGAAACCAAAACAATTTTTTTCTTAAGAGAAGATCGAAATTTCTCTCTGAATAATAAATTTATAAAAATTTAATTTTTAACAATATTCGAATCTTTTTCTTTTGCAAGCAATTTATGAAAAAATGTTTCAGACCTTACGTCATGTGCAAAAGTAACAGCCAATATTTGCGTATCTGTACTTGTTGCATGCACGTAATAAAAATCCGTGTATCTCTCAGATTTCTGATGGAAATCTACAGAAACTCGATTACGATTACACAACAGACTTGTGGTCTTTGTTCGTCGGTTTGGTCACGTCATTAGTTATAACCCGTAATTGAGACTATTGAGGCATAGAATATAGAGCACACAGAGATCCTAACATCGCTAATATAATATTCAATAACCGAGTGCTCAAGGGTAACACTTGACACATATCTCACCGTACCCGTACTCTCTGTAACGCAGTTGTTACCCTCGCATAATCGCTTAATGATGCCGCGATCAATCTGTGACACAAATATCCATTTATCGTCTGGCAGGTTGCTCTTCCACGATAAAACGAAATGAAATTGGTAAAACAAAACGTATGAACTGTATCTCGGCCTGCATAATTTTTATTTTAAAAATTCAAATCAAAGTATAAAATACCCATTTATTCAAGCGAAACATGTCGTACGCTTAAATGAGCAATTTATTTCTACTTTCCCTTGTTGTTAATTGTAAAACTAGATATTTATAGCTTATATCGTGAAGGTTGAAATATAAAATATTTTTAGAAATTTTATTTTATATTATTTTCAGTTATTACGTGTTGGGGAATTAAATTGAAAAGGAAACGATAAAGAGAATGATATTTTATGTATACTTTTGTGTTGCACGAATTTAAACTTGGCTACCAATGACGTCCAAACAATCTGTATTGTTATCGAAACATGGCGCGACGGAAATATTTCTGATTGTTTAATAGCAATGTTGATTCAAACCATGAGGAAAATAAAAATGAGTTTGAAAAATTTATGTAAAAATATGTTTAATGATTAAAATTGGAAGAAAAATGAATTTTTTTGAAAGCAATTATAGATTGAATAATACGATATTAAAATCAAACAATAAATATTAAAATAATAACGCGATATATTCATATTTACATATTTTATACATTTTTTACAATAAGGTATCTTTGTTTTCAAAAATTTCTGAAAGGCGTTAAATATTTAATGTGTGTGCTTGTGTTTTAGTTCATATTACATATTAAATTCATTTCTTTTTTATATGAACGTGATTTTATTATTTTATTCACTCCATTATCTTTCGCGCTGGTTCAATCAACTGGCAGAAATTATACAAAATTTATTTTCTCTTTGAATATATAATGTGATTATGTATAAAAATATTTCTACAATTCCCGGCAGAAAAATAAAAAAAAATTCGCGACTCGGATGAATTAATTTTCCAACTTTCTGTTATTCCTGAAGGGTTGAATTAACTACGGTATATTGCGCTTGGACGAAGCCGATGTGGCCCTGAGATGTACTCTAGCACGCATGCTCCGGGGACCGCACATTTTATATTCATATATATTTAGCTGCACTGGCCGAGGGTTGCGTATGGTCTGACGTGGCCGACATCGTGGAGAATTCTCCCTAAGCGTCATATATTATGCGTTCGGTGCACGTGGTCAGCGTTTATGCGAAAACGCAGTTTAAACTCGCGTAAACTCTTAGCCATTCTTAGCGAACGCAAGCGAAATTCGCAAGAGAGGTCGATTTCACATCATCCAATTTATACTAATAACATTATAGTCATTATTGCTTCCTGTTACATTGAGGGCACGCATCCACGCATTTCGCTTATCGCAGTCACGTTTCATTCTGTAACACATTTAACCACAATTACTCTAGAGGTAAATGGTAAAAGAAAATGCATAATCGTTAATTTCATTAATTCTCTCGCGTCTTTCATTCTAATTAATTATATAAAACTATTTACGAAGACAAGATAACAGTAATAAATGTGATTATGACGATTATTGCTCGGCGTTATATTTCTGTATAATGTAAGCATAAATAATAAGTTATTATTGTATGGTAAGATTATTACAAAGTTACGATGCCACAGTTGAATATTATACATATTTTTACACGTGCTAATAATGTGGCTAACAAAGTCTCTATTTCTCAACTATTTAACATAAACATTATGTTACACATATACATATACAAGCATTATTATATTTAGAAAATCGATGAATACATTTAGGATAAATGTCAAGACTTAATTCTCGATGGGGAAAACTAAAAGCATTAATATGCGATTAATATCGAAAGTGCAAATTACATGAAGAAAAATTAATCAAAATGAAATATGTTTCTTAAATATCTTGTATATATGCTAAAAGTATATTCGAATAGTACAAATATATCAGAAAGGATCAGAATATAATCACTCTGATTTTTTTAAGATATGATTATTTTCAAGGGTTAACATGTCTCTATTTGTCTTAATTTTATATCGACAATACATTAAGAAGTTAAATATATTTCATCTCTTTTCTTTAAAAAACTAAAATTATAAAATAAATATCATTACATGTTGATATATAATATATATCATTATGCTGATGAAATGATGTTTGCATCTTGTGTCCTTTCCATTTAATTCAACGCTTGCTCAATTCATTTTAATTAACTTCAGTTTTAATCAACTAAAATTTTAAATTGATTACACTTGAAAAATTTTTTACAGGGTGTGTATTTAATTAAATAATAACATGTAATTTAATTAATAACATAAATATGAATTAAAAGTTTATACAACATTTCTAAATTTATATTGAAATATAATATATGTAGGAAATATAATAATGTGAAAAGGAGAACACTAACATAATATTGCTTTTGGCACAACAATAGACAAACATGAGCTAAAAATTGCAAATGTATGTAATAGTTTTTCCCCGTTTTATTTTCGCGCACACAAAAGACAGTCATTCTAGAATAAGTATTATTAATTATATTGCGAGAAGATTACGCGCGGGGACGTAAAATCATGTTAAAGGTAATTTCGTTAAGCAATGATGAGATCTTTCTTTATCAAAACAGTCGTCAGTTTTCATAACGAATTCTTCATCGGACTTGCAGACCTGAAAAACGCGCGTCTGTGACATGTATATTAATAAACGTCGACAAAGAATGATATTGAAGTATATCAGCATCGTAATTCTCAACGTGGGCGTTACGATTCTCTTCGTTCGTTACACTCTATCTCTTTTCGCAACAAATTCATTTTTCTTTTTCTCTGTTTTTCTTCCTCTCTGCCTTTCTACGTATGTGAGTCATTCTTTATAACAGTATCATATTTGACGTTCTACATGATTTATAATCTCGATAAAACAAGTAAAATCAGTGAGCCGCCAATTGTCAATTTGATAAATATTGCAGTTGAAAATATAAATCGATTTGTTGCAATTGTTTCATTTATCTATTCTATTTTCGAGCTATTTTTCAAAATATGCGGAGAATGATAAAAATTATTAAATACACATTCTCTTTAAATAAAGATAAGCAAAAGCAAATGAGTAAGATTCATAATCTTTTAAAAAGAAATGTTCAGAAATATCTGTATAAATTTAAAAATTCGTAATGTGCGCAGGAATAATGATCAAAATTGTTGGATCTCTTGGATTCAGATCTCGATTTTAATTGTTGATTCGATAATGACAGAAGTACGATTTTCAATTGTATGCACAAATCTCGTTGGCGATGATATTCGAAGATCGTGATCGTAGATCGTAGGTACGCTGAATGGAATCGTCGATTACCTGACAATAAGACCGCCATGACACCACCATCCAAGTACATACAACATCGTCGCGTTGCGTTGCGTTGCGTGAGACGAAAGTGCATTGCACAGGCTCGTAACATAGTCGGGCGACACGTTCATCGTCGACAAACGTGACGATGATGCGCTACGAAAAGTGAATAGTAATCTTGACAACCATAAACGGAGAATCTATTTCTCGTATAAATAGTATGCGACGCCGGAAGTTAAAAGTATTCCCGGTGAAAGAAGAGTCTCTTATTACATCTGCAAAATATAATATGCAATATGAAAAATTTAAAGTTTTTAAAAAAAGACAATATATATTATACTCTTTTTTTCCTCTAATTAGTGTTATTTAATATTCTATAACGAGATATGCGATTTATGCGTAAATTGATCTAAAATCTCTTGTCATTAATTATATATTTTATTTTTATTTTGCCAAATATATAAATCATATATAAATAATTAAAAATTACCTTATGTTAATATCTTATTAAAATGTGGAAAATACAAAAATTGATCGTTAATAATCCATAACCTAAAAAATTAAACACAAAAGAATACATTGTAATGAATGAATAATTGATAACACAGTAAAAGCGAATAAACAAAATCTTTGCAATACTAAATAAAAAATTATGAGTGCTTTCCTTTCGAGAGCAACGATCATCTTGATCATTTTTCCGGTCGCACCCAACGGAAACGCTCCATTTTCCCTCGACGGAAGAGACGGCCCTGGCGACGTCATCGGGGCGGATGCGCGCGCATCGCCAGTGTATACCGCGCAACAACAAAAATTCACCGTCCGGCGCATTTGACGGCGGTTAGTCGACGCGCGAGCATCCCGAGAGAACGGGTCGTATCGAGGAGAGAAAGCAGAGATCGTAGTAGAGAAAGAAAGAGAGAGAGAGAGAGAGAGAGAGAGATAGAAAGGCAACTGCCCCGCAGCGTTTCGCTTCCGCGTAATACTCGGCAAAAGCATAATACCTGTAGACGTCGCGCGACGTCGCACTCAGTGATTTAAGAGAACAAGTTCGCACACAGTGAGAGTGACGAAAATGGTGTCCGGCGGTATGACTTGCGTGAAATACCTGCTATTTCTCTTCAACCTGATATTTGCGGTGAGTACCTGGCGCGGTTAACGGTGTACGTGGACAAGGGGAATACAATACGTCGAGAGCCTCGCTCTATTCGAGCCGCTATTCTCGGCACCTCCGCGTCGCGTCGCGTCGCGTCGCCGAGTTGGGCGGGCTTTGTTTTACGTACGTACGTATATCGGTCAACCTGGAGCAGCATCTGGGGATCGTTGATCCCTCGATGCCTTTTAAATCCAGCGTCAAAGTTTACCACCGTAACTCGTTCCGCTGAATGAGCGATGAATCATTTCGAGAAACTGTCTTGTGTCGAAATTAAAGTTGTTCAATTTCTTCCGGTATTATGAATTTTCTTGACAGATGCTTCATTTTTTTATTATATTTCGGAATATTTCGAAATATAATAAAATCCGAATTTCTGAGAGTGTCTCTCTCTCCGCGATTTGTAAGATCTTTAGCTCAGGTGGTATTTATCCATACTGTATTTTCAAATGATAGATGGATCATATTCCAGGTATTTCCAGGTATTACATATGATGTATTGATTATATCAGAGAATAATCGTCGCAATTATAATCGCCGAGTGTCATGCACGTTTCATGTATTATAAAAATTCTCGATGATATTGACGTAAGACGAAATCATGGGCGTGTTACATAGACACGTTTACGAAACACGTAATATAAAGGGGAAATCTTAAATAAGAGGAAATCTTTAAAATAAAAGGAAATCTTGAGAATCTTTTCTATTATTTTCGCGTATTTGAATTTAGACAAATTTTACAACTCTTTTGCAGGTTTTTTTATATTGATTATATTTAATCTAATGCCGAATTTAATTCACAATGATAGTAATAATCCAATCGATATTGTATATAGCGTGACCAAAACTACGGAGTTTCTGAATAAATGATATATATACGAGGGAGTATCAGTTCGAGGGAAACTTTGTAGTGTGCTTATGTTCCAGAACCTCGGTATAAGTATTATGGATGAAGGCGATCGATACCTTCAACGTTTAACGTAATCTAGAGTTCGCCCGTTCAACATAACCGACACCATTAAAACTTCGAAATATGTAGAAAATCGTATTATATTAAAAGCTCGTTCAAATGTTCTCGTCCCCAAAATGCCGAATAGAGTGTAACACTTAATTGAACATTTTTTTCTGATCTAGCACAAAGTATATTCTAAATGAAATATAATGAATGTAATATACTAATAAAATTGTATAAAAGAATATTTAATTAAGAGACGATGGGAATATTTAATTAGAAGATATTGAAATGTTACAGATTCGACAAAGAACTGGCTCGAATTACGTAAAACTTCTTAGCATTGCTTTAGTAATATGAGTATAACAAGAGATGTTAATCTCACGTTGACGGAAGAATTTGTGAAAAAGTCACCGATGTAAAAGAAACTATTAAACGTCACGCGACAAATTCGCGCACGTAAAACCGTCGTCATATAAGTAGTTGGAAGGATCTAGGACGTAAAAACAACGTCGCCGAAGGACAATGGGACGGGCGTATCTGCTGCGCGTCCCTTGCACGTTTAATGATTCGTCCAACGTGAAATACCAACGTGTTACGATCATATTTAATGCAGGGCGTACCAGAAAACACGAATTCGACGCATAATTTGTTCGTGAAATTTCGGGAAATTTCGGTGGTTTTTTTGAAATTGTCGTTTTCTCTCCTAATGGAAATGTTAAAAAAAATTATCGCTTTCAATCCATTGAATTTCGATTGACATTTAAAGAATTAATTCTTCGAAAAGTCTAAATAAAAATTTTAAACTTTAAGCTGAATGACGTATTGCTCCGTTATCCGCATTTTTGAAGATTAACTTTACGAAGAGAGCCTGTTACATTTTTAATGATGTTCTCGATCAAGAATGGGGGTAGATTTAAATTTCGATGTTCTGCTCTACTCTTTGTTTTCTGGAACGTCTCATATGGATCGTCATTGTCGGCGCGTCCTCGTTTTGTACAGTAACTTTTTAATATAAATCCATAGTTAAAGTTTGTCTAATAAAGTCACCTGTTAGCGACGTACGCGCGAGTCTTGGGTCTGGCTATCTAGGCTTCGCTCGAGGGCGAGCGAATCGACCGGTCGGATTCGGTTTCGCGTAGCCTCGATATAAACGCGCGTAAACGTAGGTAAACCGTAGGTGAGACACGTAGAAGTAAAATATTATAGGCTGGCAAGGGGAGAGGTCTATACTCTCTCGATCGGGCTGCCTACAACCTACAAACGATGTCGCAGTCGCGCCTGTTTTTTTCCCCCCCGATCATAGAGTGTCGGCGATCGCGCTCGTAGATGTCTTTATTTAGCCAGCTCCATCCAGCAACAGGACGCCGACTAATTCCGGTGGTCGCGGCTTTGATAAAATCAACCTTCCAATGACAATTATACGAAACTCATCGTCAGCGATGCGAGAAAATTGCACACGCGCAAAATTTTAGAAGATAGGTCCACGCACTACATTTCTGCGCCAATAGTTTGGAACAATCGAATTTGATGATATAGATTTATATATAAATAGATGTTAAGATTTTATTTATTATATCTTATTTATCTTATTTATTATTTATTATGTGTAGATACAAAATATAACTCGAATCACATAAAGTATATATATTTACTATCACACAATATAACTATCACATTGATACAGACTGCGTAATCGACTCCTTTTAAAACTGCTTTAAAACACGCATATATACAAATGCAAGTCTTTATTTTATTTTAAAAAAGTTGATGTTATGTAAATATATATACATGATTCGAATTTGTTATCCTTTTAAATTAATAAAAATGAATTTTATTAATTTACTTTGATTTCGAAAGTCATCGCTTTCGTAATCCAGCGAAAATTATTTCGTTGAAAGTTATTTGTCGTAATGAAAGTTCTACTTCCTGTTTGTAAACAATGCGACTCTTACGTGCTTTCCATTTAAAATCAAGCTTATCGCGGTAGAAAATATTAAGTGTCTGACCTAATTATTCAAAGTATCGATCACAATTTACACATTGAGAAATATAACTTTCAGTAGAAAATTGTCTTAAGTGTTTTTTAGAAGTATGCTATTGTACGTTTAATGATTATACAATAGTTAATGATAGATTTATGGGGAGAATATTAATTTCTTAAAATATATAGAGTTAAGTTATATTATATGGAATTTTTCACATAAATTCTATATTTAATAATAATTCTAATGAAAGATTTCACTTCAATTAGTGCATATGTTTAACAATGAAAGTAAACTAAAGTTATTATAACATGTGTTAGAAAAAATGTTATGCAATATATATTAATGCAATATCTCGTGCAATATATATCATATCAAGTTATGTCGTTTTTGTGTGTCTAAGATAAGAAATATTGAATATTTTGTGTATTATTTCAGATCACCGGTATCGTATTTATTTCGGTGGGTGCGGTGATTCTAGTTGTTTACAATGGATACAACAACTTTGTGGATAGTTGGTTCTTTGCAGCACCAGTCTTAATGATAATAGTCGGTGTCATAGTCTTCCTTGTATCATTCTTTGGATGCTGCGGCGCCGTGAAAGAAAATCATTGCATGATAATTACGGTATGATTTTATGATAATGAAAAATGCTTTTAAAAATTCTTTTTTCTCATAGCAACATATAAATTTGTATAATTCTTTATAAATTTCAAGATACTTTCATATTATAATTTTATATTATAAAATGCAAAATTAATTTATAAGAAATAGACAAATTATGAAAATAGTCTTTATTGAAATATTTAAATTTTTAATAATTCTTAAAATTAAACAAGTACTAATTTAAATAACAGACGTATTTTTTAAATATTTTTTTATAATATGGCGATAAATCTTTTATATAGAAAGATATAATTAAATTTAAAGAGAAATAATTAAAACAAGCTCATTTTACATACACACACACACCCACACTAATTATATATACATATATGAATTTGCTAGAAGATATGAAATTCTGTGTATTACATCTGTTTAATAATTTTAATTTTTCGTAGTTCTCAGTTTTGCTGCTGTTGATATTCGCCCTGGAATTGGGTGCTGGAATCACAGGTTACATGATGAGAGGAGAAGTTGGTAACATGTTAGAAAATCGTCTGAATAATACCATGCGACAATATAGTAGTAATGATGATATTCGTCGTTCTTGGGATATTATGCAGCATGATGTGAGTTCATTAAATGATTTATTATATATATGCAAATATTATATGATCTTGCATTTAACTCTTTCCATTAATTGTTGTAAGAAATGGAATTATGATTAATATCAATGCATAGACAAAATTCTTGTTTGCTAAAAATATTATATTATTTTTATTAATATATTTATATTGTTTAAAATTCATTATTAATTGTGAAAATAATATGATTCCAGTTAGACTGCTGTGGTATGAATAATCCTGCAGATTGGTCTCGCGTTGGTTTCGTAGACAATACCGTTCCCGAATCCTGCTGCAAGGAAGTTCCTACTCAGAGCAAATGTGATGTAAATTCGATTCACGTTAATGCCGAGGGTTGCATGATCAAACTACAATCTGCTATAGAAAATAACGCTATGATCCTAGGAGGAGTGGGCATAGGCATAGCTCTCATACAAGTAAGTTCTAAATCAAATTTTATCGTAGATTATATTAAAAAAGTAATTATAATTTAATTATAATCACAGACATTATATAAAAGAAACAGATTTTGGTATTTACTACGTTATTTTCATTAATCATACTGGCTAATAATTTTTCATTAATCATACTGGCTAAATATTTCCACATGCATATGTGATAATAGTGAGCAAAGCTTACTTGGTTATAAACTAAAACATAATAATTTTTCTTTTTTTTCAGTTGATTGGAGTAGTCTTTGCGTGCTGTCTAGCTCGCTCAATTCGCCGCGAGTATGAGACTGTGTAAGCTGATAGCTACAAATTTTCATTGCAAGCCTAAAATGCACTTGTATAAAACCTGGTCTATTACACAAGCTGTCACTTTTTCCCTCGTTTCGTTATCATTTAACCATGCACAATTATACATAAAATATTTTCTTTTCTTTATCGCTTTCTACTTTTAACACATTGCAAAGAAACAGTTTGTAATTACTTTTTATTAAAAAGTGCGTAATAGGCAAACGATTTAAAGATTTCCAAAAAATCTCACTGCTATTTTGGTATTTGGGCCTTGCCTTATCTATCAGGCATAAAATCATCACACATATATGTTTTGTATGTTTTTACAATAAGAATCTCGAACAACTTTGTATATTAATGATAACAGATTATCTGTTACTCTCGAAGATATACTACATTTTTTTTTATAAATATCTATTTATATCTAATTCGTTCAGTGTCATTATGATACTCTTATAGTTGAGCCACGATAACTGTAATATTGATTATGAAATTTATATAAACCACACTATAAAAATATGTTTAAAAGCTTCTTTTTATTTAATGTCTGCTTCACGTACAATTATTCAGCTTATTAGTAAAAGTGTATATTTGTCGTTCCTATGTATTATTTGCTTTATAATATTCCGCGCATGAAGCAATGATATATTGATACTGTTGTCGAGGCTCTGCTATAATACTAAGCAGTACCATTTTCAAATTTTAAGAGTATCCATATTTCTTAAGACTTTATTTTGCTTTTGGATTAATATTTTATATGTGCTTTTATATATATATATATATATATATATATATATATATATATATATATGAAATATTTGAGTATATTTCAATGAGAGTATATATACTGCACTTAATATAATTTGATGCAGATAAATATATTAAATACATATAAACTTGTTACATTTATTATTGTTATAATATGTATTTATTTTTAATGAACTATTCGATATTAAAGAAATTATTAAATAATTTAAAAAAAAATTTTATCTTTTTTGACAAAATTCATAAAATATTGAAAAGAAAAGAAAAGTTAACTTAGATATTTCAAGATGTAAAATAAAGTACTAAGTACATGGATATCTTTTCAACATTAACCTAATGGTGTATGATAAAGGGCATTTTCTTTTATATTGCATGTTATATAATCCATTTTAAGAAGATTATACTCAACCAGTTAAAGAAAAACAAAATGTTCTATATTTGTGAAAATGTGAAATGTGCAAAGAAACTGTGATTGAAAGTAACATGTGTCACTGCGCAATATAGTAATTCTTTTTTATTTTATTTTATTTTTTTTTTATTATTATTATTTACTCTTGATTTGTGGCTAAACACAATACTCTCTAGATTCTAGATTGATAAACTTCCATATTTAATAAATTAAAGGAAGTAAAGGAAAGTATTAGCCTCAGTTTGCAATTGCACATTTACTACACATGGTACGAATCAATACAAACAAGAAATACCATATATTTAACTTGAAATGTTTTGTTTATCACAATGTAAAGTTTACATAGTGTTATAATCATGAAAAATGTCTTATGAGATGTATAAGTGTATAGAAATAGATAAAAAGATAATAGTTGTTCATGTTATACAAGTTATAGCAAAGCGTATAATTCATAATGAAATTATTTCAACACAACATCACTTATATACTCAACAACAATAGAATTGTTTCAACTTGATTATCATAGATCTAAAATATCGTTTCTCAAGCCAATGTTGGCAATAAAGTGCTTGTTATTAAAGTTTATATATTTTAATAATAATAATATTACATGAAAACTGTCGAGTTATTTTTTATTTTTCATTTTCTACATTATATATATTTCGCTTAATATGCCGTAACACTAGATGTTTTTTAAATATTTTATGTTTTATGCCTAGTGATGTAATATTTTTACTTGCAGCGAAACCACAGCACACTGATCTGCCATCAATTAGGAGGCATTTTTCATAATATTGTTCATCATACATTGGTTGATATTTGTAGAGTCATTATGACCGTAATCATTCTTATTGTGCTTATAAATAAATATATATATACATATATATATACCCAAAGAGGAATGATGTCACAAATATTTAGTGTACAGTGATAAGTTAACGATGCTTCGGTATGTAATGCACGTGAAATTATATATATATACATATACTTTTGTAGAGAGAATGCATTGGCATCTCTATTTTTGCTTGCTTCTTATAAAAAGATAAAAAAAAAGAAAAAATGCTACGCCTTGGAAATATTAACATTTTCCTATTAAATTTAATATCAAATTACTGCCAATATCTGCCAAAAAATATACATCACATGCCGTATAAGAAGCAACGAAAAGAGAAAAAAAGAAAACTAGTCGAAAAGGTATATAATCCTGTTTACAGAGATTATAGCAATACAAGTTGATCAATTTTTGGCACATGTATGCTGAGGTGCCTATTAAATGATGTGCCATGATGTAATGTCTGACAGATCTATTTTTTCATGTGATATGTTTATATGAAGCTTGTAATTTTTTGCGCATTATATACGATTTGTAGCATTATAGGAGGTAAAACATTCAATGTAGCCATCATTCCTCTTAATTTTTTGTCATTAAAAAAAAAAACGATAAAAAGATAAAGAGTTCTATTTCTGCATCATCTTCCTCAGAGTGCAGAATAGACAATTTATGTAGCAATTAATTGCAAACAAACTTGTGTTCTGATAATTTAATACTCCCATAAAATAGCGTACATTATATTGAGTATATGCGCGCAAGTCTTTGCATTTGTTTTTCACGCCTCCTCATCGACGAAAAAAAAGATGCAGTCTCTAATATTTATAATATATACGATGTTGTGGTAATATTGATATAAATTTATATAATAATTTTCTGTGTTCTACGAACAAAAAAAAAAACAGAAAAAGTAGCGTACTCTTATTCGTAATCGACGGTGCCCCGTGAAATATATATATATACATATATGCGTGTATATAGTATCATTATGTAGTATCGGATGTACACAAAAATTCTGTACATTATGTATTAATGATGTAACAAAATTAGCGTATCTTGACATTTAGCTCAATTTAAATGAAATATTAAATGGAAGCTGTAGCTCTAGCTTTACCCTATCAATAATTTAGCTTGTAATGTCAGTGAACTCTGATATTGATCCTGTTCTATTTAATTATATTATATCTCTTGATATTCTATTGCCAAAAAAAATATTTTTGTGCATATTTGATGCTATAAGTTCATTCATATTTGGGACCAAAGCAAAAAGATCAAGATTATTTTATTCAGTAATAATTATTTCGAGAAAGAAATAACGGAGATTGAGAATTATTATGTGTAATGTGTCAGAATTACGTAAAGAAACTTTTCTTAAATTCTATATGTAATCATAGAATTCTTTTTCCGAATATTAAATGAGCTTTTGGTAATATTGGAAAATGAATTAAATGTGAAAATAAAAAATTATTATATATAATATACATATTAATATTTATTCACTAGCTTCCATTTGAAGGAAAAGTGTTTCGTAAAATGTAATTTGTTAAAACTGAAATTATAATTGGGTGCCATTAAATAATATGTATATTTAATTACATAAAAAATATATAACATTCTTTTTAGATTTATATACATATAATAAATAAATGAAAGAATAATAAATGAAAGAAAAAATAAGAAATTTCACTGCGTCTTGTCGATTTCACGAATTCAAGTACCACAGTTCAAGTTAAATTATATAAGTTTCTGTAATCTTGTGTATACAATGTATGGAAAATTAACATTCCTTTGGACATATATCGTATATTATTTTAGAGTATATATGTCTAAGAAAATAAAAAAACTAATTTTCACAAAGAATTTATATGTATAAGTACAGAATATATTGATATATATTTACTCTATTTTACAATAATGTTGAGAGATAATTTAAATTTACTATTGGCACACACATACACACTCGCACATATACACGATGGCAAATGCACAAGATCTCAGAAATAGATATGAACGTCCTTAGAGTAATCATATAGTTGCAGAAACATATAGAAATAATAGCTACGAGATATTAAAGTGTGCCTAACATAGTAACGTTTATGTTATAAGTTAATAGAGATTAGAAAACATTTGAATGATATATTATCTACAAAACATGCGCAATACAGTCTCGAAATTAGCACTCATCCAAAGTTTGCTCCTTTTGATTGTATAAAATCATCCGTTTGTGTCAGAGGTTTTATTAAAAATTTTAGACTCTCTGTATGTATTAATTACCAAGCAACGCAAAAGACTGATGAAGATTATTGTAATCAGTATTAACTTAACATTGGTATTTTACATATAAATATATACATATTATATATACATATATATATACACACATACACACACATACAATACACAAATGACTTTGTACTAAATTTTATATTTTGGCTGCTTATATTATTTTTACTATAAACGTAAATTATTAGTCACAATCGTTAAAGTGATACAAACATAATTTTATTATAATATAAAATTAATTTACGATATTTTAGGAGCCAACATGTCCTTAGCACATATTCATCTAGCTTTTATGTATACTAATAAATTTAATGACACCATTTACAGTATTTTTAATTAATAACCTTTTCTTACGAACCTTTCTATAAGTTGAATATGTCCAAAGATAAATCTCATAAAATTATTAATTTATTAATATCTATATTTGTTTTTTTATATATATAATTGAAACTTATTTTTAAGAAAAAATACAAGGATAGGTAAGATAATAAGTACTCAGTATTAGCGTATAATAAATTGTATTTCATTCATTATATCGTTAGTTAAAAGATCATTATTTATCAATATACATAAGATTGAATTTCTTACATTTGTTCTTTTTTTTGTTGGCATTAATGTTTTTTATACACGCGAATCAAAGAACATTTAGATCAATGGATAGATTCTCTTTCGGTATATTGCAATTTTTAGAAATATATTTATCGAAATTGTGTAAATAAATGATTTCTTCCTTTCTATATTTGCTTTTTTTACAAGAAAATTTAATACATTCTATAATTTTCAAATTGGATTCACAGATATAGCATGCTCTCGTTTTTAGCGCGTGACTACATTTAATGTATATACGACATTTAGAAATAACGAGATCTATTATGTTTTGTTAATATTTCGATAGTTTCTCACAAATATACGTGTGGGCATGTACACGCACTATTTTATATATAATGATCTATATTTACAAATCCGAGGCAGGATCGACTTATCCATCCCACTTTAATTTATATAATGTTGAAACTGCACACGTACTAGCTTACAAAATATAAAAAGCCAAGGTTTGCCGACTAAATTAAAATCCATGAATATTTAATTTTAATATAGGAACTTACGCGAATCGCATATTCCGCACATGCACTTCACGCGATATTTACATTCCTCGAAAATTTCGTAATGAAAAGGATGCAAAGCGCGCGTTTTACTTTACATAAGAAACTGTACAATGTCAGTACTTGTTAAGCAAATTCTCTCCTCTCCTCTCTGTTTTCATTTTATTATCTCTATATAAACTATAATTACATTTACTAGTATTTTTATAAGCAACTATCTATATCTTAAAACAGATATGTACAAAGTGATTTTAATCACCTTGCGTTTGTGAAATTCTCACACGATATAAAAAACTATAAGAAATTATTTAAGAGACGCTCAGTTCATATGTATTTGACATCTTAGAGACAATGAAAATATTTAACTCGAACTTCTAATATTTCGAATATGCAACAAAATTGATATGTAAATATTCTCTAAAACAAATAATACAAATAGAATATGCAAATTGCACCAACATCGGTTAGCACTAGTCACGTGTATGTAATTTCCTTTTTTCTTGTATCTGACAACTAAAGTTATGATTTTTAGAAGGGGAAAAGATCGCTAATTAGAATTAGTAAATCAGAGTGATTGAAATACAATCACTAGCAAAATTTCAATTTATACATATACATGTGTATAGATAGAATATAAATTCGGGTCAGAATTACAAGTTTTTTTTTTTTTTTTTTGAATATATCAGCATATAAGTATACAGTAAGTTTATTTACAATTACATTCTTACGGATGGGCCACACAATCGATATAACGTAAGCATTTGCGTCTGCTTCATGCAGAACGTTATACACATTACTGTGTATTATGAACACAAAATTCTGTGCCAGTAGATTTGCAACAGCTAAATTATAATTCTATACGTTACTAGTTTATATCTTGAGTTAAGTGAGACACATGTATAAATGTAATAATTTAAATTGAATAATTCAATATAAAAATATAAGTTTAATTATGAAAAAAATGGCCCTCTATCGATTAACTTATATCGCCTATATGTAATTACTTACACTTTAGATTATCAATATATTGTTCATGTTATCTCCTATTCTAAAAACATTAGTATTGTGGGTAGTATTGTATTGTACACAATACAATCCATTTAAATACTATCTCATTGTAACTTTTAAGTGAAAAACTCCTGTCTCGTTATGCCCTAACACACTGTTTAAACACACTTGCACACGCATTCATTCGTCTTAGGCACATTACATACTCAACATAAAAGCACATCACAATCATGTTTGAGCTGATCTCAAACGGCCTTTGATCACTTGTGTTTCTTGACCAACATGATCATAGATAAAGATGTATATGGACTACATATGAGACAAATTGTATGAGAGCAGCAGCGATCGTAAGTCATGATTGGCATGAGACTAAAAGGAGTTTAATACGAATTAAGAACATGCTCATGTGGCATAGCGTTTAGTCCAAAGCCGTGCTATGCGATCATGTTCTTCTCTATTTTGTAGGTACTGTGTGGCTATACTACCCACCAATGGATCAGCTGTAAAAAATTATACAAGATATATATAATAATTATATAAAGAAAGAGATATGCGCGCGCAGTATCTATAAATAATTTTTAACACAAACAAGTCATAAATATATTCATTGTTTGTATTATATACATCGTACATTGAATTTGTGAATGAATTGACAATTAGACAATTTATTACAGTACTCACCTGGATTGCAGTCTGTTAACAGGGAACATATTGACAATAAGACCTTTGAAATTGTCAGTGCAGGAGACCAGTTGTCCTTTAATATGTCCAAGCAGATAACTCCTTGACTATTTATATTGCAATGGTAGATGCGTGTTCGGAATGTAACCTATAGAAAAATACATTAGTTTGGAACAATGCATCATATAGTGTATGCTAGAAAGAATGAAATAATTTGAGATTGTGAACTTTATAAGTGACAGAATTTTAAAGAGATGGAAAAATTTATAAGTGCAATACTAATTGTAGCCTCTGTTTCTTGCAAAAATAATTATTTATTGTGAAAAATATTGATATATTTTATAATTATATCAAAACATTATGTTAATATTTTTAAAGTTTTATAAAAAAATTTATTAACATTTTAGATTACAACTTTCAACTTTTATTTATTTTCTTTAGATATAGATTAATATATAATTCTATACAAGTAATTTAATGATAATTTAATTTGTTTCACACATGATACAGAATTAATAAAATTACCAACCTACCTTAGGAGGCTTAAAGGGATATTCTGGTGAGAAATGTATATCAAGAAAGAACACACCGCCCTCATAAACAGAACCTGGAGGACCTAATATGGTAGAAACCCACTCATATAAGTTATCACCTTTTGGTCCTGCACTATAAAATAAAATTTATTTTATATATATAATTAATTTATCACACATATATTATTGTTATAAAATATAAATCATATTTTAAGTGTAATTCCAAAGTTTTATTTTATTGCATATAATAATATACCTGCAATTGGGAGGTGGATCTAATGTGATTTCTGCTAATTCTTTTTGTATCCTAAATAAAAATATTAAATGTGTTTAATAGCTAGAAATTACCATAATAACATTAACAATAACATAATTATTGCATTGTGCGAGACAAAAATATGTCGCACCTTTTAGCAGAAGTTCCTAAAGCTTTTGACATCTTTGGATTTGGCTTAGCTTCTTTACTTTCTGGTTTATTGTCTGCCAAAGAAGAACCACGTCCTCGTCCAGTCCCACTAGATCCTGCTCCTGACGACATGATTCTGTAGTAAAAACAAAAAAATGTAAACTATCATTTATGTATAAAATTCTGCATAATTAATTTACTGAAAAAAAGATTAGTATATAGCATAAATTCCAAAAAAATACGTTAGTCACGCATTGCATTTCTGTTTTGACTTTGTCTCTCAGTTGATGAAATATTTTTAAAAAAATTAATCATGTATTGACAATTAATATCCCTGACATTAGTTTATTAAAAAAAAAGGAGTAAAATTATTAGTAAAATATACTCCATATTCATGTAAATCTGCGTCACATGTACAAAGTAAATAGAATGAACAAATAAATCTTATTTTTTTGCAGGTAAACTGAAATGCATGTTTAACTAACAACTTTAATAACATGAGGCGCTAAAAATGCAACGTAAAAAATTAACTTGTGCACTATATAATCAAATATCGAGAAAACTGTTATCTCGTACTATTTCGCTCGACAAGATAGTAAACGACAAGATCGTAAAACAAAGAATTTTCATCGACAAACACGACTTCTCCCCTTCTGTCCCTCTCTCTCTTTATTCCGCAAAAACATAAACATCGCCGGCGGACAAATATCACTCGACACCCGCGCGTTGTATCTTTAAACGGCGTCGCAAAATCTAACGCGATCAAAGCCCGGCCAAAGAGGAGCATCGCTTCTCGTCGTTCCCAGGATCCCGTTCGCGATGTGCGAGTAATATGCGAACGGAAAGCTCAAGCGAGACGATCCGAAAGAAAGAGAAGAGATTTCTTAAACATCGTCGCGTTTGTTGTCTTCTCGTAGCGCGCGAGCCGGGTTCAACGCGCCCAAAATTGATTTCTCTTCGTTGCGGGCGAGCACGCGAATTTGTTCCTCTCTCTCTCTCTCTCTCTCTTTCTTTCTCGGATCGAATGCCTGCCTCTCTTTCTCTCTGCAACTCACGCTCGTAGAAAAGACAAGACTCCGGCTCGACACGAGCGTCGGGAACTCGAGTACTCGGGACGACGTACGTTCCCGGCACACGTTCGTCGTCTACGAGTTCTCCCCCTCCTCCTTTCTCTATGGACGTCCGTCCCTTTTAGGGCACAATGCCACTTTTGATCTCTCTCTCTTAACCCTCTCTTTCTCTCTCTCTCTCTCCCTCTCTGTCTTTTCTAATTCGGCAGCGAGTTGATCGCGCGAGAAGAAGGCGATGCGCGATGTACCTCGTGCCCGATGTGTCCGCGCCGTGTTTGCTGTCGTCGCGCGACAAGCTCAGCTTCGCCGGGTCGTCGGTGGAGGGAGATGTAGGGGGCGGAGAAGGACCGGCCCGCCGCTCGAGATGCGAGCGATCCCGACTGATTTCCTCGGCGCGACGTAGCGTAGTCACGGGGATTAACAGTGCCGTGTGACCGCCGGGCGGATCGCAGGCGGAGTAACCGACGACCGACGGCGTCTCCTTCGGGGTCGCGCGGGAGTAGTCACGTAGGGAAGCTCTACAACGCACGCCCCACAATGAGACTGCGTTGCCGCGATTCCCTCGACGTTAGCGGCGGCAGCAGCAACACTCACGAGGAACGCGCAGCGCACGGCGCACCGGCGCGGCCGTCCGGACGATGACGATGACGACGACGACGACAATGACGATGACAGCGGCAACGCTGAAAAAAACAATAGCGGACGAGCGCGCGGAGACAATGGATTTCGAATCGCCCTCGCGGTTCCCGTCTTGTCCCAGCGCTCCTCAGGCCCCCGTCCTCGTGTCACGACCATTCATCTCGCTTTCATGTCCCGAAATCACGATCGCGGCGTCCTTCTCCGAGCATCGAAACGTGCGCATCTCTGCGTCGGCCGGATGTTGACTCTGTCGCCGCCGCGCCGCGGCGGACGCTGACAACCCACGTTTTCGCGCGGGCGCTACCGGCACCGCCGACTCTCCCTTCCCCTTTACCCGAGGTCTGAACGCGAGAAAATTCCTTGGCGCTCCGGGAGAGCGCGTCCCCGTCTCTCTTCCGATTTAAAAATCGCTCCGTTTTCAATCTTTGCGAACTTGCGTTACCCGCTCGTTATAGATTCCGTGGTCAAGATGACACTTTGCATTTCGCGCTGCGAATATTATCCATATTTCATTTATTGACAGGTAAATGAAAAATGGGAGGCGACGAACATTGCATGTAAATTTACGAGAGAATCTCTCTTATAGGTTTATATTCATCTGTAAAAGCACAGAAAATTATATTTGTATGTCTAAAAGAATATTTTGTATGAAAATTGAAAGAAATATGTAAAAAATGTCTAACATTATTTGCACGCGTACCTGTATTGAATAAACAATTTTTTTTCGATAAATTTCACGAAAATTATAAATCCACATATAAATTTTATTCCGAATTATAATCATGCTTTTTGGTAAATTGCATCTTCACACGTTGAATATATAAATTAATATATAAAGTTTCCTTATTTTCGAACAGCTGTTTTATAATGTTTACCGATATTTATCGATGTAGATACTGAATATATCTATATGCGTCGACACATACATCGGCTTCCACATATCATCTATGTACTCATCACTAATCGAAATCAAAGACGGACAACATGCATCGATCCGGAAGAATAATATCGGCGCAGGTCTACTCCGATATATTGCGATGTCTCATGTTTTGTCCTACGTAACTATGACTACTAAAAGCTAAGAGAAGTCATACTGATACACACGACTGTAAAAGAGACACTCGACAAGTGTACGAATTCTCACCGTCGTTCGAACGTCAAAGACAATTTAAGCGAAATGAATGACAAAGATGACAGTGCTTGGGTATTCGATTCCTTGATTGGATTTCTACAGGGCCCCATTTGGTCGTCGCCTTTACTGACTTTCATCGAAGAAAAATCCCTCGGTTCGTACTTCAAAGTAATCGAAAGTATCTTCGTTTTTTTCCTTAATAAGTTGCAGTTTTTCCTGCTGAAATTTTTTGATATTTAATTAAATAAAATTAAAATCAATATCGCTTATAACGAACCATATATATATATATATATATATATATATATATATATATATATTCGTTTTATTAATATATTCCGCATTATAAGCCAATATAAAATAGGCAGACGCACTGTTAAATATAAATACTATTTGCATGTATTTCGAATGATCTGTCTACCCATACTTTTACACATCTGCTTCGAAATATATATATATATATATATATATATATATATATATTTATATATAATACTTTCTTCCCGCAATACACATACACATGCGCACGGAAAAGTAGCTTTTCCTTTGTGAAACTAATAAAACTTTTCAGCCGAATTTGCTACAATAAAAAGTAGTCATTTTGATGCGATTTGATGTCAAAATGATTATTTTTGATACGAGGATTTCTATCTGATGTATTAATAATTATTTATTTAATAGTTTTCGAGGCAAATACCGAAGATTGCGAAGAGTATCGGAAAATATATCAAGAATATAAAAATTTAGTTGATTTACTGTTGGGTTGTTTTATGGAAGATATGAGTATTTCACCGGAACAATTTGAACATGCGTGCACAGTTAACAGAGATACAAAAATCCCAATACAATTTCAACAAGTACGATCATTATTTTTCTATATATTTATACAATAAATTATGTTTTATACTTTTGTTTTGTTTCATAAAATTATAAAAAGTTCTCGTATGTATTCGATAGAAAAAAGAGAAGATTTGTAGATTGTAATATTTAGAGATTAATATATATATATATATATATATATATATATACATATATATGTTTTTAAATAAATAGTAAAAGAAATATTACACACGACTTGATTATGCTTTATATTAACAAATGTCTTGTTTCATTTTCTTCTTTAAATTTATAATTCGTTTCATTTATAATCCGTTTTATAGAACTTATTTGAGCAAATATGGGCGGCGAATGAATATGAGATATTCAAAAGAATGATGATACAAAAAAACTTGGAACTTCAACTGCAAGCGTTAAATATGATCGAACAAAGATATGGTCTCACACCTGCCTCCCTCATGTATGAAGACGGTTTTATCGATGATGAATTGGTCATGGAGGACTTGATACAGTATGTCGTGTTATAAATAAATAAATAAATATATATATATATATATATATATATATATATATATATTATACAAGCCAACACATTATTATTTTTAACTAAATAAAAAAAAATATGTTATTATATTGCATAAAAGTAGAAAAATTTTCAAAAATAAAAATCTAACGAACGAACAATCGAAAAAATTGAAATCAATTGTTTTATGCATTTGTGCACAGCAAACATGTTTTGGAAGATCAGAATAAAGAAAAAACAGGAATATCGCCCGAGAAAACATTGATTGCTGAACACGAGCGTTTGGCGGCCGAATATCACAATGAAAGGGCGTTATTGAAAGAAGCATTAAGAAAATCAAAAAATGAATCCAAGAATACTTCGGATGACGAATCTACAGAAGAAATTGAACATGCCACCTCATCCGTTGAGAAAGAATCGTCAGAGAAATTTCATCAACTTAGGAAGACCGAGCCCTTAAAACCAATACCGATTTCAAAAAAGAAATCCGACGAAGATGAGGTAGCCATTTCTAATTTTTCTTAATTTTATGTAATATATATATATATATATATATATATATATATATATATTAATACATATGGGGACACTTTTCTATAAAAATAAATACAGAAATTTAAAATGTCAATGTATATAATAACATGTTTATGGAAACGAAAATATACTATATTCAATTACGCGGTATTATAGATGAATGTGGAAGACATTAAAAAGAGGCAGGAGTATCTAAAAGCCAGACGAGATAAACTTGTAGCTTTGAAAAAAGAAGCCAGAAGCCAGCAGTTAGAAATGAATAAAACTCGGCCGAGTTCGGCTAGAGTAGTTGCCGAGGCGACTATGAAAGGACAGCAAGAACTGGAAGCAGCACAAGCTTTAGATCCTTCAATACTTCAAGTACGAAAGGCTCTTGCAGCTCGATTAAAAGCTGAAGTTGTGCATAAGTAAAATTAATCTTTCTCTCTTATAAATTGCTTATTCATGACATAATTATCGATATATACGCCTCTCAATTCCAGTAATGTGCTTCACATAAAATGCTAATTGTGATATCTTGCGACAAAGTAGTATCACGCAATTGCAAAATATGTTATCGAATGATATGTGTCAGATTTAGTAGAGTTTTCCGAGAAACGTATATATAATATACGGAAAACTATAAAATACTTTTATGTATCTATGTATTATTATTGCTTTAAGAATATCTCTATTTACGTAATAATATTTCTCATAAAAGAACAAAGGTAAATCTGTAAACATACATCCGCTTATATATATATTTGATCTAATTAAAGATTTAATTTAACAAAATTAATGTAAGAAATACAATATGTACATTCTTAAAAAATTTGCTCGCGACAGCATCTTTGTATAAGAATATATGTTTATCTAAGAATGTAGATTTGTTTTTTATATATTGCAAAATATTCAATAATAAAAGTTTAAAGTGTACATTCATGAAAATATACATACGAAAAAGAATATATAAAATAATAAACTAATATAAAAGATATAAAATAATGCTTATAAATATTTACAATTATTATACATATTAATTAGATTAAGTCACAATAATTATTTACATTCATATTTCATAGAAATTCAAAAAATAGATATTAAGAAAGGTTAAAACTCCGGTCATTAACAAATAGATAGTCTACTAATTTTAGATTTTATTTAATTAAATACTCTTCGCACCTCTACAACACACTGTATTTGTATAACACACATTTATAACACACATTCTCACTTCTTTACAATCTACTTTCTAATAAATGGGATGGATTCATAGCATAATACCAGCACATTATAAGTACACTATATAAATATTTAATTTTTTTTCATCAATATTTAATTAATTATTAATGCGTATTTTTATACGGAATATAATGGAAAGCAGTATAAATTTAAATCACATCATATAATCATATAATATATGTAAAAATATGTCATGAATATTTAATGTGAGAATATATATATATATATATATATATATATATATATATATATATAACAAATTCTCACATTAGATATCCATGACAAAATTATATATATATATATATATATATATATATATATATATATATATAATTTAATATAATTTGATATCAATTTAAATTATAAATACTTTTTTTAATATAATTCTCTTTTTTTTATATCGCTCCAAATACTGATCTTAATTTCTTAATAGTCAATAAAATTTAAAAATAAATTACTTATTAATTTATGTCTGATACAAAATTCGTATAAGTTAAGAAATTTTTTATGACAATAGTTGCTTGTTTGTGCTATGAATCCTGTATTTAGATATTTCTTTATTAGCCTGATTAATCTTTCATTCTTCAGTAGAATAAAATGCAAAATATCATTTTTCAATTACAATTCATTCACTTATTATCATAATATTGTTAAAATACACACAGGATTGTATATCTTTTATGCTTGTTCTTAATTCACAAAAATTCACGAATAGCTTTTCATATAAAAAGGTCTCTTTTTCTGTGCATATATATATATATATATATATATATATATATATATATAATATATGTATATGCATGTGTGTTGTGTCTGTATATTTTTTTTCAAAGAAAAAGCTTATTCAATCGTTACATAATTTAAACGCATATTATTAATACGTGATATTGTACATTGTGTGCTTATCTCATCTTCTTCCTTTAATATTACATTGATGTGACGGTTGAAAAAATGTATATTTGCGATCTCGGCGACGGTTTTAAAGCAGAGTGTTTTAGACTATTATATTATATATATGTTCAAAACTGTATATATAATATATAATCAAATGTTATATTTACAGAAGACACAAACTCACCATCTTCTCAATGAACAGTGAATAAAACGATTGAGATAGAACAATTCCTTCTATTTGTATTCAATTTAATGACTAAAGATATTATATATTTAATCCTAACGAAATTATTTTACAAATTTGAATATATAATACTTATAAATATATTGTTTATATTGTATATTTCATTCTTTTCAAAGTATATAAACTAAATAAAAGTCCAAAACTAATACAAAATCGAAACAAATAGATACTGGAATTTGCGGACAATAACTAAGTATATCAATGATGACGAAATGGATAAAAAGAACATAGTCCAGAATACTCTGTATAAATGTTTATATCAAATTTCTCGATTGAAATAGCACGAGATCGCATTTTTATTCTCTAATATCACTTAGATATTAATTCACTTTTACTTTTTTTTTACTTACTGCACATTCTTTGCACCCAAAATGTAGCACATTTTAGGTTTAATATATTTTTTTAAAATTTTATCGAATAATTGTGGATATATGTAAAACACATATAAAGAACAACATTACTCAGCATCATCTTACTTATTAATATTAGCCTTTGTTACATTTCAGTTTTGTCATCATCAGTCCAAGTTGCACAACATTTTATGTACATGTATCACTCAGCTCCAGCAAATTTGCCTATTGAGATATTCACAATTTGTTCATCTCGTGATGTGAAATAATTTTTTAAATCTCTCTTTCACAGTATCATAAGTCAATATATATGTATATGTGTACATGTATGTATCCTCTCATTGCGATATTTCAAGCATATGTACTTACAGTTCTAAGCAGTCTTGGAAATTTTTCCAGATATTAGGCATATTGTTGGAAAATTTGTACATTAGCTTTTAACACTCTGTATAAAATTAACTAAGTCAAAAACAATGCAAAAATAAATGTTTTTAATACATGCTATAGAAATTATATAAATAATAAATGCTAAAAACTTATGTTTCCATTATCAGCTTTATCGGTTGCATAATTGATTAGAAAAAAAGATATTTTTTTTTTATGGAGCTGATTCATATATATAATACATATAAATACATATTTCATATATACATATATATAAGTACATAAAATATGTACTTATACAAATATATTTATGTATCTGTACATATATATGGATATATATGTATGTGTACTTAAAGCAATTATATATATGTAATTTAAAAACGTTTTACAAATTTTACTGTTTCTATAAAAAAAAATTTTTATGTCAAATCTTCAATAGCAAGCACAAATTAGAATTTTATATTGCATCTTCTGTGAGATATCTTTTTTTATCAATATATATGTATAAAGTATATATTGCATTATAAACATGTTTATAATTTAACAAAATTAAATTATGTGTATAAAACATTAGAAAGTAGTGTTTTTATATAAAGCGTTTTTCTGCAATTTTTGGCTTCATATTTTGCCCATGTAGATACAAATAATTTATATGAACAATATGCTTGAAACCTAATATTCAAGAATCGCATGATACACATTCAGGTTATAATTCTTTATACATCAAGGATTAACATTGGGCATGAAGTGCAGACTCTGGTAAATATACATAAATCAAATATTTATTATACAATTACTACTACTTACATTGACAACCGAAAAGCTTATTGAAAGTATTTTAAAGGGAACTGATTCCTTAAAGAAATTATGTGTTTCTGTTTAATTCAAGTATGATTGTGTTTTACAATCGTTACAAATATACATATATATACAAACTAAATACTATTTCTGTCGAACTGGATAAAGTTTTATAGTGCCTGACCCCCTCAAAGCATAGGTCTCTCTATCGCACAACAGGCGATAAGAAACGTACAAATGGCAAAACAAAGCGCTCGGTTGTTCTTGTGCGGTACATCGCGGTACTCTTTGTCTTCTTCGAATTTGATCTTACAACGCATATTGTAAGTTTCCTTTTAACAGACTTACCAGATAATTGTAATTACTGTAATCACAGTTTAACTATGACATTACAGCATTACAGAATATCTAAGCATACGCTTAGAGCTTCTATATCTGTAAATCGGTTAAATTTGACTATATGTAGCCAAATTTTCCTCTTAATTTATTCATAATTATCCATGAGATTATTTTCCCTAGTGCACAAGGTGTTTCCAGACAAGTGGAATGGACTATGATTCATTTAATATCTGTAACTTTTCTTTATATAGTACATTGTGCTACATATTATGCCACAACTACCACTGCTTGTTTCATTAAAGAAAGTTCATTCTTTCTTTGTTTTACTGACATTCGATCGATATAATTTACTCAGTTTTCATTCAGACCCTATTTATGTTTTGCATACTATACACAAGTCAACACAGACAGACCTATGAATGAGTGCCCACCACACATCCCTTTTAAAAGCACTTATTGTTGTGTCCATTCCTTAGCAAGAGTTCGATCTATATCTCTTTCAAAAATGAGGAGATAGATCTGTTTTTACATGTAGGAGGGTCGTGAAATGATAATAGCAATTAAAAATCACAAATGTCTTGTTCTTTTCAAGTTTGCCTACTATGACAATCGTTGTCGTTTTGGGGAGGGACTTGACTCCGAATCGTCATCGTCCTCGTCTGAATCTCCTTCATAATCGACTAATCCCTGAAAATTAAATTTTAATATTTTCATACAAAATCTACAGATTACTATAACATTTTTCTGTATATAAGTTGCAATTTACAAACTAACTTAATTATTATGAAATATATATAAATTTGATATCAATTATCTTAGAAAATGTTAAAAAAAATTATCATTACATTTGTACTGTACTATTATAATATTTCAAATATATATATATATATATATATATATATATATATATATATATATACATACACGTGTGTGTACACATTTTTTTTAGAAGATTTACCTTTTTGAATAGTGCAGTTCCTGTTTTTTCCACAGTTCCGATAGCTGGAGTAGGATTTATATCCGACGCAATTGGCGATTCATTCGTTGTTGATGAACTATTATTGATTTGCGGTTGTTGCGAGGTAATATTATTATTAGAAGTGTTGTTGTTTAATACAGACTGCTGTTGCTGTTGCTGCTGATGACTTTTCGAATCTGTAAGAATGGAATTAAGTGCAAAATTTAAAAATAACGATTGTTTTTTAGTAGAAACTGAAAGTATAACATCTGCTGCTATCATCACTGCTTTACCTTCATCATACTCCTCTTCTTCATTAAACCATAGTTCTTCCTCTTCCTCTAGCTGTCTCTGGTCTCTTCGATACCGACTATTCCGCAAAATTGATGGGACGCTATACACATACAAAAAAAATTATTTCAATGCACATCTATTATGACATATAGAAATAATTAGCCTGACAATTTCTGTATCGATACACTTATTTTGTCTGTCGTGTAATATATTCTACATAATTTTAGTCCTTATTTTATTTTCATTCACAGGAGAAATATAGAAAATATACATTTCACAATGTATATACCTGTCAATTGTAGTTCTATCACGATCTTTCAATTTGTCTTGATGTTGTTCGTACCTTAACTTCAATGCCTTAAAAGTTTGTACATAATCAATTGCTTCCAGTTCTTTTGAAAAGTTTTCAACAACATGTGAGCATAGTGACTTTATATCCTCCTAAAACAAAATACAACAAAATGCCTAAGTAGAAGCAATGAAAACGCGACTTTACCTATCTTCTCCATCAATTGTAAACACTATCATACTTACCAATTTAATAAATTCAAACATTTCCAATATAGCCGAATCCAGAAGATTATATCTACCATTGTTTCTTACAAATGCATCAAATACAGGGGCAAATAAATTACCCTTAATTATATATCTATTATAAAACTCGTCCTTTAGAGCTATAATTTTCCTCATAAACCTTAGTGCACATAGTACTAAAAATGTATGTGTTGATTTCATTAAAACCAATATTCTTCTAAGTAAATCTTTGTTCAATATGCAGTTCTTAATATGGTATGTGTGATGTTCCACACAGAATGATAACAGCTCTAATATCAATCCCAAAAGTTGTACTGTTCTATAATCCTCTCTCGCAGGTCGTTCCCCGATTGTGTTTGCTAGGAGAGGTGCTATTAAAGTACCAATACTATTCTTGTAAAAGTAATTTAAGAAATCAGTCTTTTCTGATTTGTTAACAGAAGCCAACATGTTCTCTGGATCCAGAAGTAAACGTAGCACACCAGCCAACTGGACTGCACCGCCCAACTCAGGATCGCTATCTCCGACAAGTTGAGCAACTATTACATTCACTAACATTTGGTCCTGTTCTGTATTATTTATCTGTTGTAATGTATAATCTCGTACAACACTTGGAGAATATTCCACGATATAAGTCAATATATCTATACTAGCCGTTTTTGTCTGTGCATCATTCATCGCCAAAGTGATTTCTAAAGCAGGAAGTATACCAAGTGCTGTTAATGTTTTATAAAACGCCTCTTTTCCTTGTGGCTGAAGATTTTGCGAAAAATTGCAAAATTCTTTCAAAAAAAGAACCAAGTCGCGTCTCTTGCTATCTAAGGTCGCTTCGTCTGTTAACTGACGAAAAAGTTCAGTAAGAAATTTCTCATCATCCTGTATCAAAGTCACTATTTCAACTTTATTGAAGAATATAAAACTACTCAATGTACTCAACATGTTATCCTCGAATACACTCGGGGTTGGCAGCACTACATCTTGAATGTATTGAACTCTGTACGTTTGATGGATCTTAGCTAACAGTTCGGTATTTGTAATAGGAATTGCTTGTTTAAATCTGGCTAACTGTCGCAGGTATTCTCTATGCCTCTTTGGCTGAGATAACGTTGGCTCATATTCCAAACATCCAACAACATCAAAAATTGTATCATCGCTGAACATAACTTCAAATAATGCATTTTTATTGAGTAAGAAAATATTTTTAAATATATCATAGAGATGATGCAATCCCTCAATGTTCTCCAAATCTTCACACGTACGAAAAAGGTTTAGCAATTTTTTAATATAACCCTCGGATTCTAGCGCCACTGCTAATTTTTCTTTTCTCATTGGGGATGTTAAACAATTTTCTATGAGCTCGTTAATATCTTCCAATCGACTAAGTTCGCAAGGAGGTAATTCAATGGGTGGTGCTGCATCTGACATATCATCAAACCGCTCATCTTCGGATTCTTCCACAATGTCTTGTGTAATTTCTACAGATGGATCCTTGCCTTGAACTTGACAAATCTTTTCCCATATCTCGTCACAGCCAGCCTTTTCTTGAAAACTTAGAGCTAAGTCGAAATTATCTCCTTCGGACCATACTATTAAAGTGTCCTAAAATCAGAAAATAATATACTTGTACGTGTCTATATACAATACCAATCTTTCTTTTATCATTCTTCTATATCACGCTACATAAATTATATATTTAATATATTAATACTTATAATATAAAAAAACATTGTTCATAATATAAAAATATTAAAAAACGGTTTCTATATTTTCTTCAAATTTTACCAAAAAATTAAAGAAATATATTATTTTATAAAAAAGTACATTACTTTTATTTTTAACATAAAACTAATACCATTCTGTAGTTTTGTTGTTCATAAATATTGATAATAATAAAGAAATATAACTAAATCACAGAATGTTGCATTAGCTATATATCGTGACCAGTGTAACACATACGATCAAGGATACAAAGGTGACAAAGACAAAATATAAGAGAATCATAAGAATCTTTTTACAGTTGTAATCAAAGCAAGCAAATGAAATTCTTCAACTGCTTATTACCTGTTGTTTCTGATATGCTGTATCAGGTTGTATTCTACTCTCCAGTAAAACAGAGCCATCGCTTTCTGCTCTTACTAAAAGAGAAATCCCTTTTAATCTATCTACATAGGAGGAGGAAACATGACCCGTACCACGATCATCCCATTGTCTATCTGCATTAAGAGCATACAATTTTACTCTCCTACGTGTATCCGTCATATTGTAAAACTAATTAGTGCACTCTCTCCCTAATATCACCAACTATTCCGCATGCCTTTCCAAATTAACTCAATCTTTGGCTCTCTCAGCGATGATCTCTTTATAGGAAATCTTCAAGTACTCGACAAATCAATGAGTGGACAAAAACTGAGATATGTTGAATTTCCACATGCCCTTGTACAACTCATTAAGGTTTCTCGTTATTGCATCTTATGTATAGTATAAACAAAATGTGCTCGGGACATCAACGTCTTTATCGAAAGACACGCGCGTGCTGCGCGAGACTAGCGTTACAGTCGGGACCTCGTGTGATGGATAACCAAAGTCACCAAGTCTTACACGCCAGTCGATTCTGGCGTCAATCGTTGGAGGAAACGCGCGTGCCGCCAGACTCGGAGCATAGCAAGAGCAATAGTCTTCCGCACTTCCCCAGCCTTCCACGCGGCCTCGCCGAGCTATCTACGACTACGCCGAACGTGCACGACGCACCGCGAGTCTCCTCGCGCGAATCGCTCCCCGGCGATGCTCCTGGTGCGTCTCCGGACGAGAAACTCTCCCCGAAAGGGACGAGCGCGCGCGGGAAACGTCCGCGCGACGTACGTCCTCGCACTCTCACGTGTCGCGATCGCGACGTGCTCGGGACGCGCCGGCGTCGGATACGAGACACTCGATCGGCCTGCGAACGTTGTCGCGGTTCCACTTGGGCGGACGATGGTCCCCGAGTCGACGGCGAACGCTGCGTGCACGATTCTCGCTGCTGTGCACGATTCTTCCCGCGGCGGCGGCGGCGGCGAACGTAGAGAGCCCGAACGATAGAGGCTACTTCCGCGATGCGGCTGCTCATAGGAACACGATTATCTCGCGCGAATACCCGTGACAGTCGTCGTCGGCTCGCATCGCCGTTCGCCCAAACTTTTCCCGCGTTTCCCCTAAGCTATATCACTCCAAAATTGACATAGGCAACCACAAGCAGCCACAACACTACATTCCGCCATGATAGATCATAACAACGCGCCACGGGGTCTCCCGCATACGTCGCAAGGATGCTACCGCGAAATTCAACGACTGCTCGGCGATGGCGGGGACGCTCTTATCTGACAATTAAGTTTACCGATCGAGCAACTTATGACTAGTCGCTAATTCTATGAATATCAATGGGCCGATACGATATTACGATGGATGGAAAGAGTCGGGGAAATTTAGATTGCGTTCCGTGATAATGATCTCCTCTTCGAAGGTCACGCCGTCGATAAGACGGTGTGTTCTTGTTGATCCCGTGCCATTTTTTTTATTTTCTGTGCGTTTGAGACACGCTACGCTTTCTTTCCGTCGACGTCGTGCGAGTGTATTTTCTTCGAAGGATCCGATGGTAGATTTTTCGATCGCTGATGTCACGATGGCCGACTTTTCGACTTATTTCGAGAAGGGATGACTCTGAGACGTTTCATCGCATCGAACGTTAAAATGCTACAAATATATTGCTCGAAGAATCCGATCCATTTTTTTTAATAATTATTCCAAATGTCTCTTATTTCCATCAAAAATAGAGCAATAGTTGGATTGCGAACCATTTTCGAATTATGACAAATACATGATTCTGGATTTACGAGAATGTTAGAAAAGTTTAAGATTGTTTTCTTCCATATTGTTACTTTCACTCAATATATATATATAAAAGAAATTTGACATTTAATATTTCATATTCTTGAGATGAACACGTGTGATATATAATTTTGAGACTTACAACCTGTATATTTTTCTTAAATTTGCAACTTGACACTGCAATTAATGCACGATTCTCTTATTTTTTTCATGTTTTTTTCTTTCAAAATAATTTTATTAAGATATGACATTGTACACATATAACACGCAAACAATACTTGCAAATTAGTTTAAAAATTAGACACATCATATATATAAAAGAAGACAGAATATACATATGATATAAAAATTTATAAAATTGCAAGTATGTGTGCGTATGGATACATATATTACTTAATTCAATATCGATATTCGATAAATGGATCGTTTTTTTTTATTGTAGAAAAATAATTAAATGGCTATTAGCTAAGTACGATAATGATATTTGCGAGCATTATGTTATTATAGACGTAAATTAGCCAAATAAAGTTTACCGAGGAACTCGATTTATTTTAATATGCAATGAGTCGACGTCACAGATATACACATATTTGCAAAAATCCTGAGAGCGTGCGCATTTTCGAGATGTTAAAATGAGGTTATAAATACATCTTTCGATTGATCAATAAAGCTTGATAGACAATTCAGCGTTTTGTTTCTTATTGTGCATACAGTTTTAATTATTATTATATTAATCGCATCTGTTATTAGATTGGTCACAAATATTTATAATTCGTCAAATGTAAAAATGTTTTTTTTCAAGAAAGTAACATTTTCAAATAATTATATACGTATTCATAGCAAAAAAACAAAAAAAAATATAGTATATTTAATAAAAATAATTTATAATACATTGACAAAATGAACTATTTCTCTCTACTAATATTCATTTCTTTACATTAATAATTGTAAAAGAAAAAATTCACAAACATGCATATAAAATTTAAAATTATATTGAAATAATTTGAATTATAAATATAATTATATATATGCTGGATTAGAAAAATAACATATTCTTGTGTGAAAATATTTTAACATATAATAAAAATAACAATTCTCATGTGAAAATATTTTAACATATAATTTGAAATTTTTCTTTTATTTGAAAAAATTCATGTTTGCATATGTAATCGAGTATCATAATAAGAATATTATATTTGTAGGAGGAATTTATAAAATCATATTTATTCAAACCAAGTTAAAGTTTATATCCCTGTTTTCTCATATATATAATTTTACAAGCATATAGTAAATAATGTATTATTACAATAAAAGAAAAAGGATCATATATCAATAAATTATATATAATAATTATTAGAAATATTTGTATATATTATTATTGTTGTAATTAATATTGATATCTGTTCTTAATTTACTCATAAAAAGAGAAAAATTGATTATTTACATATGGTTATAACTATACATAAGAGAGAAACTTTTATATATTAAAGCTTAGGAGCAAAGGTACTCAAGTACATTCCATCCCAATATAGAATTTCACAAAGTTTCACAAGAAATTTTTCTATACAACTATAAGAACTATATAAAGAACCAAGAAAGTCTAATTATATACAGATAAATATGTTTGTAAATCTCAAAATTGTAAAGCCAATAGAACTAATTTATCATATTTTCATACATTCTGATGATAGAGAGATAATACTTTGATTTATAAAAAGAAAGACAAAAAATTGTCATTTCATTAAAAAATAATTCTTCATGTATTTATGAACGCTGACATTATAACTTCAGTTTATGATTTGAGTCTCGAGCTTTCAGTCTCAGTTATTACTAACTCTTGGATTTAACAATCGCTAGAGAATTCTTTATAATTAGTTCTATCTGTCTTTAGTAGATTGACTGATCGACTTGAATATCGTAACAAACTCTCTCATATCGATCACAAAATCCAAACTTTAGTTGTTACAACCTCAATTATTGATTGTTTGTATTAATTGAGGCCGATTATTAACCAAGTTAAAGACTATTATGTTACATAATCTTTATCACACAATTTTATTTTTATTTATTCTGTTGCTGGCGGAGGTGAAAATTTTTGTAATCTACGTCTGCGTAGCATTTCTTGTTCGTTCGAAGATTCCGTCTCAGTCCTAGATAAATCTGACAAATCGATAAATTCGTTAAATGTTGACCCATCTTCTTTTGATGTACTTGGAAAAGTATTTTCTTTCGATGTACTTGGAGTAGGAATATTTTCCACCTTAACCTGAGAATTTTCGTCAGTGATCCCGGCGCTTGCATGCGCTGTACTGCTTGCAGTTGGTTCTGCCATCGTAGATGTATCCAATGTATTATCGATATTGCTTGTAGAACTGTTTTGCACAGGAATACTGTAATTTTAAGGTTCACATTATTTATATATAAATGTTTATATTTTTATAGAACACATAATTTAGATTACACACTCACTTAGCTGTAACAGCCACTGTTTGATATTGATTCATCATTGCATTGGCTGCATCTAGTAAAAGTTGAATTCTTTGCAACGTTTGTATTCTAGCCTGAACAGCTTGCCGCAAAGTACCTTCCATGGCTCTAAGCTCTTCCTCGCTTAATTCGGTTAAATTTGGTGGTGGTACAGGAATAGGTGGCAATGGCACTATTGCAGGAAATATTGGTGGGAAAAGCGGTATATTTCCGGTAGGTGGTATACTTTGAGGTGGAGGCGTATTTCCAGCATTGGTCTGAGGTGGTTGCTGCTGCTGCTGCTGTTGTTGTTGTTGCTGCTGCTGCTGCTGTTGTTGAGGCATTCCTGGAGCTGGTAATCCAGCCCAAAATAGTGGGAAATGAAATGGCGGTCCTATATATTTTAAATAGAAATGAATATATTTATTCATATATAAAACTTGAGTCTAACAAATAATAATATAATATAAAATCATACCAATAGGGGGATTGCCACCAGGTGCTTGTGGAGGTTGAGGAGGTGCCTGTGGCCCTGGCTGAGGAGGATTTTGTTGTCTAGGTGGTGCATTGTTCGGCGTAGGTCGCAAAATATTCAAACGGCATGTCGGACATGTCTGTTGACGTTGAAACCAAGAACGTAAACAAGCAGTATGGAAGATGTGATTACACGGCAATTTTTTACTAGCTGCAACCATTTCTTCCCTGTATCAGTTTAATATGCATATATTAAACCACATCAAAGATGTTATAAGATATTATTTTATTTATTGCAATTTGTATTCTTACCGACATATTATGCAGACATTATCAGCAGCAGCTAATTCTTCAGTTGTAGCATCTGGATAGAGTGTATTCATATTCCTGATAGCTCTTCGTGACATTACAATATCATGAAAAGCTTTTTTAAAATCACGCATTGTATAATACATAGGACGTAATGCAAATAGAGGTAATGTGAATAACTTTATCATTAAAGTCACAAAGGCAACATAGAGGATAACCTGCAAGCAAAAAAAAATTGTTTCAATTCACAAGATATATAAAATTACAAATTTTGATAAAATTCTCATTCTTAGCATTACCTTTAATAAGCCAATAATCAATTCTGTATATAATAAGAATACTGGCTTGTTATCCCATGGATTTTCACTTTGTAGATCAATAGTGTGCAAAACATATTTTACAGTGATATTAAACACAACAGTCAGCAAAATTGCATATTCAAAACCAAATACAAGTTGTACAGAAGGTCCTTTAGTGGCTGTTGTATTATATGCATAATGTATCATTGTTAAATTTATACCAAATAAAAGCCCTAATAAGGTAGCAACTCTGAGGTGAAATAACCATGTTATTACTGGACTTCTTTCCATCTAAATAACAAGATATAAATTAAATCAAGTGTATATTCAAGTAATTATAAATAATTACATACAACTTTGCCACATGTAATAAAAATCATACAAATGTATGCGATGTATCATATGATACACCAATATTTCAAGTGTGACCATTTGAAATTTAACTCACATAATCGACACGATCTTCCGCAAGCCAATGAAATGATTTCAAAAACAAGAGGAGAGTAAACAATGCTATAAATTTAGGACTGAAGTCATCCCTAAACACTGTAAATGCCAAGCATGTTTCCGTCACCGCGTACCACACTTTCTCCACCAGGTGCTGCAAGCAAGAACAAATAGCGTTATGCGGAAAAATTGACGGACAGATGAGAAATGTCAAGAGAATGTCAAGAGACTTCAATCGACTCACCTCGAGCTCGGCAGCGCGTAGGGTACCGAAAAAGATCTTTCGTAGAAAGGCGTTTATCATGAACGCGAGTATGAATCCTTGCGCGTAAATCACCTGAGCACAAAGCAATACATATGTAATGGCAATAAGCGCACGGCGGCCGCGTGGCTTATCGGAAACGGCACGTTAAACACGAAAAAAAAACTCACGGTCATGCTCGGATTGGATTTGGTTATGTGAACAACGGTCGGATAGAATTGTTTTCTTTGATAGTACGCATTGCCGATAACAACGCACGTTAGCGCGGTGCTTATCAGCATAATTCCAGCCTCCCTCATTTTCGTGATGAAAATGTTCACTCTCTCGTCAGCCAGCAAAAAGTCCCGTTTCCGAAAGAGAGAAAGGTATACGTGACACTTGTCAAACGGAGAATTTTACGGCGGTTTCGTGCCTCAACAGCTGTATCAGTAACCAACACGAGTTGCGATGTAAAACGTGGCGCTGATATCGTCGCGGTAATCTTCGATTATCCTAACCGCTGTATGTGTATATATAAATAAATGATTCGTTTTCATCATGTCGTCGACGATGGATGCTTTTTTCTCTTTTTTTAAATACAAAAATCTCGAGGAAAACAACACGATAATATAATAATTGAGAACATTACAGTACTTATGTCAACGTTAATTATACTCGCGTAAGATATGAAATGTCAACCATTAATTTGACAGTAAGCGAAGGCCAGGCGGTGCCACGTGATTGGTCACGCGTCAATGATTACATTTTGCGTTGAACACGTGGATAGTGATGATTCTTGCTTTCATCAGAGATGTGTTGTTGTTTCAAGTACGTTATCGCAAACAAATTTGAAAAGGAGCGGGAGCGATATTTCTTCTCTAAAACGTAGCAAAGGATATATATAAATAACGATTTAATTATATTATGATATAATAGGTACATTCACAAGTCAAATGTCAATTACGATGAGTTGTATTACATGTTAATGAGCAACAATATTGCAATTGATTTGAATTTGTCATGTGAATGACAATACATATTAATGAGGACATGTGTGAACAATAGTAGATATACGCAATGATTCTTAAAAGTACTTCAAATAACATTTTCATTTTGTTTTCAAAGCCTTTAAAAAGTAAATTATATAGAGAGATATAAATTTCCCTCCTTCTCCTCCATAAAAGCATCTCTTCATATATCACATTTATATAGCCACTGGCTTAAAATTGTAACGGTTTGTGATTTTAAACATATGCATAAACTATTAGTTTTATCTATGACATTCTATTCCTACTTTTCTATTAACTTCTGTATATTCTGTTAATATTAATATATTTAATATATTAGGAACACCACAAAACAAATATACTTATAAAAATATATATGTATAAAAATTATATAATTTCTTAAAATAATATATGTATATATATATATGAGAATAACACATGAATTTAACATATAATATTTATGATTATAGTTTCTGTATCTGTTATGTATGCATACTGAGAGCTTTTGTTTTCAAGATACTTTTAGGGCTTTGACGTTTTGGAGTTCCTAATTGTGCTGTTGCTTTTAATGGCGTTCTACGTGTATCTACTGGAGGTCTTCGCACTAATTTAGAACTTTTTGGAGTTTTTACTGTTAAAGGTCGCTTAATATGTGGTGTTTTGTTAACATCTGATTTATATGGAGACATATTTGAAGTCTCCAGCATTGTACTCATAGACATCTTTACTAATGGTGATGCTCTTGTAATATTTTCTTTTTGATGAATTTCTATGTTACCTGTAACATTAATTCCTTTATCTTTAGAAAAAGTTTGATGTATAATTTGATCTTTATTCGAGAATTTCTGATTTTGCAATTCAAATTTTTGTGCAGAACGATAATTCTTATCTAGTCGTTCGTGAAGTGGTTTTAATGATGTATCTATTATTTGTGTCTTGATTTGTACTGATGCATTTGGAGATAGTATTTTATTTTTCAAATCCTTATTAGATTGTTTTCGAGAAACTTGTGTTCTTTTACATGATTGCTTAACATGTTCAGTGTTTACATCCATTGTATTCAGAGAATGTTTATTTGCATTATTATCACACTGTTTTTTGTTTAATACGTTGGCTGGAATAAACTCTGACGTTTTTGTTGTGCATTCATCAAATAATTTTGCTTTAGCTAGAACCATACCAGCATTTTGTGTTCGAAGTTTTGCGACCGATGCTCTACCAGTTTGTGGAGCAGGTGTGTTTGTTCGAGATACTGATTGAAAGTACTTATCTGCATCTTTCCAAGATATTCCCTTTGAGCCTTCGGAAACAATATTATCTCTTTTTAAAGAATCATTATTTAAAGCTATGTTCTGATGACTGTTGGTTTTTTTTAAGTCTTCTATTTTTTTATCAAAATAACACGAATTATTTACAAAGTCTTTTCCATGAAAAGATGATGCTCTACGCACATATGAAGTTGTACAATTATTTGCCAAATGTAAATCTTTAAATCCAGAAAGATTCAAATCATTATTTGATACTTTATATTGTTCTATTGAACGAGAAATCGATGCATTCATTTGATTATGTAAACATGTTATCTCGTCTCTCGTATTATTAGATATAATTCCGTTACATCTTTCTGTAGAATTGGGTTGTTCTTCTAAATATTTATTAGAAAATAAATTTGATTGTTTTTCAATAGGATAAACATTTACTTGTTTTTCGAGTTGAGCATGGTGCTGTAAATTATATTCTGGTGAAATATGCCATGATGCAGTTCGTCTAATACGTTTGCTGTAAATAAAAAAATAATTCATTATATAATCAAATAATTTTTTTATATTCTAATCAATTATCTTTATATATACTCCATTTTAATTTTTTCTTTTATTTTGATGCAGTATTTTTTTATCTTTATAGAAATAATAGTGAACTTTTGGAATATATATAGTTATAACCATCATTTACATTACGTATATTTAAAAAAAATTATAAAAATTTAAATAAAATTCAAAAGTACCTTGCAACTTTTTCCTGTGAACGTCTTCTTAATGAACCAATTTTTCTTGCACTAGGAGATCTTATTATTTTATGTTCTCTTGATCTTCTAATTTTTAATTCCTTACTCAATTTCTTTGCTAAATAATCGCTTGTCAAAGTATTCTCGATACTAGCCTCTTCTAATGTTTTCTCATATGCTGTTTGTACTTTATTTACTGAATGTGCAGTCATATTATTTTCCTCATTATATATGCATCCAAATTCTTGAGAAATACGCGATTCGATTGCAGAAACTCGGTTTTTTATCTCTTCATATTCTTTTTTAGAGATTTTGACATAATCTTCTTCACAATTATCACTTGATAAAGATATTGTGTCAGCATTGGGAAAAGTATTAAATTCTTCCGAATCAGTCTTTTCTTCAGGTATTAAACAAATATCACTTTCATCCGTAGCATTTAATTTCCTTGAATTTGTGCTTATATTCATATGCCATTGCTCATCATTTTTACAATGATTTTTATTTATAAGTAAATTTTGGTCGCCATCATCGTCTGATAAATCCACAGTGGCATCAATAAATATATCATCATACTCTTGCTGAAAATCATTATTGAATGGTTCATCATATTTTATTGATTTTAAATGTATTATTTTATCATTATATTTACGTATTCTATATGCATCAAAAGAATTGCTTACTGAACTCCAACGTCTTTCACTACTCGACTTGTAATTATTCATATATAAATCCAATAAATCATCAGCATTCTTCTAAAAATATTTCATCAAAGTTATTAATATAGTACTACATAATACTATTTAATTGGTTACAGATCTCAAAATTTATGAGATATATTTATTGATCTGAGATTTAGATAAACTTTTGAAATCTCAAATGTATATTAGAAGCACATTTACTTACTTGTCTATTTTTAGGTGCAAATTTGTCCAAACTCAATCTTAATTTTTTTGGTTTATCTAATTTTTCAGTCACTCTCCTAAAACATATGAAAAATTAAAACATGTTAAATATATGCATATATTTAATTCTTGAAAAAAAATATATAGATATATGTATTAAAATAATGTATGTACATGAGAAATAAAAATTTATAAAAATAATAGTAAAAAAATTAATCATTTCATACTTCTTCTTTACACTTGGAGGATATTCTTTTTCAGCTACTTTTCGTTTTTTGGTAAATTTATTTGAAGACATATTTGATAATGCTGCAGAATGTATAGCAGGATGTAGATGATTGATATTAGGTGTATCATCTGTGCCTTTTCCAACCATTTTCTTCAAACCATTAAACATCCCTATAATATTGTAAATATTGCAAATATGGTAAATATATATAAAAAAGTATATATTAATTCATTAATTCTGTTCAATATTTTGTTTAATATTATTTTATTTTATAGAATGTTATATATTTTATTAGTATTGTTAATCATTTAACTGGTATAATGAATTAATGTTTATCGATATGTAAAAATATTTTATATGTACATATATACAATAAGGCTTACGTGTAAGACTTCCACTGCGATGCTTTTTCTTTTTATAATTTCCATGTTCAAAGGAGTCTAATCCATTATCTGTGCTGCCGCTTGTTTCAGTAGAAATACTTTGAGCGATATGAGGTGGTAAAATACCAATATTTTCCGAATTTTCAATCAGAATCTGTATATAATAATTCCTTTTTAAATAATGATACATTTACAATATTGCAATCAACATTCTTAAAAACATTTATTACCTTAATAATAGTTAAATGCATTTGCAATCTGTTTTGCACAGCTGACATGGATGTATCTTGCAATGGCATAATATTTGGTCCAACAACTTTTGCCAAATTTTCAATACCCATCTTGTTTTGTTTTTCATACATGGAAACTTTTTTTAAAAATTCCATGAAAAAAGCCAGAGTATTTAAATGATACGGCGGTAATAGTATACATGCCAACAGTAATGCCTGTACCCGATAACTCTTCAGCAATGCGCAGTGCACAAACAAGTCGTGATATGTGTATGGAATCAATGGCTCTGGCAAATCACGGAAGAAAGATTTTAAGCAATTAGCGACATCGATCGCGTAATTCTTCTCGCCTAAATTGCCACCGTTATCCAGACGAGACATCAATTCCTTCTGTCGTGCCTGGGAGCCAGCCTTTCTAAAGAGACCCTCCTGAGTAATATACTTTTCTAGGAATGTCGAGGCTTGAATCACAAATACAGGAACATGAACTATGGCACCTGATGATAAATTCACAATATCCAAAGGCTGATAAAACAAGGCAGTCTTGAAGACTCTCTTAGAGATATTCTTGCATGCCTCGGGTCTTTCGCTTTTAAGCATACTTTTTTTGAAGCGATATTTAACTCCGAAGCTTCTAAGATCCTTGGCGACAATATGATACACCTTTTCCTTATGCAGCACATCGTAGATCAGCATTTTTGATCCTCCAATGTAACGTAGAATTACGCGAGTCCCGTGATAAAATTCTCTCAGTCAGAAATTG